AGCCAAAATGGTATAGGCCTGGAGTGTTCTGGGGTGCTTTGTGTCTATATAACCTAGGTGCAATGACTAGAGCTATAGTGAACACTGACTAGAGGTATCCTGGTGTGTGCTGCACTGGGGCCACCTTGGTGGGATGGCTGGAGCTGGTGCAGACTAGAGCCCTAGTGCTTGCTGAGGTGGTAGGCCAGCTAGGGTGCCCAGACCTTGCTCCTGTTCATGCTATCAAGACTGAGAGGGAACACAGACAGTGGTGTTCATAAGCCACCCCCTCACCCCCAGAGAGAGCTTCAATAGCTTCTCAGCCATTTGGCAAGGTCCCAGGGTTGATTCCTTTATTCTAGTTGCTCTTTTAAACTGTGGCTTTTTTCCTGTGCCCCAGGGCAGACGAATCTGCTCTAGGTCATTCAGCCTATCCCTCCTCATTGCAGTTCACAACATAGGGCATGGGGGGTCCCTTTGTAACTCTCTCTCTTTCTCTCTCTCTCTCTCTTGCCATTCTCTATATGGTCTCTCTATCTTTTGTTCTGCAGAAGCTGTTCTATCACTCCGTCATTCTTTGAAAGGAATTGCTTTATAAATAGGCATAGATTGGGTGTGTCCATGGGAGGAAGTGAATTCAAGGTCTTCCAATATTGCTGTCCTAGACCAGAACTCTGTTGGTAACTTTTAAACCTACCTTGGTTGTAAGTGAATTATTCACCATCTTTATCATATTACAGAATCTAACTTTATATATACCATTATCACTGGATTTTACACTGCCTTATGTTTTTATGTTAATTAGTGTCCTTTTTTTTTTAATTAGTGTCCTTTTATGTCCACTCAGAGAACTCCATTATTTCTTGTAAGGCATGTCTATTGGTGATGAGTCTTTATCCCTATTTCATTTGTAAGAACAGCTTCACTGGGTATAATATTTTTGGTTGACAGTTTTTTCCTTTCAATATTTTAAATATGCACCCTGTTCTCTTCTGGCCTAAAAGTTTTCTGTTGAGCAGTCTGACAAAAAGTCCTATGGAGGGTCACTTGTGTATACTTTTCTCTTGCTGCTTTTAAAATTCTGTCTTTACAGGCACCTGGGTGGCCCAGTCGACTGAGCACCGGACTCTTGGTTTTGACTCAGGTAATGATCTCAGGTTGGGCTCTGCACTTGGCAGGGAATCTGCTTAGGATTCTCTCTCCCCCTCCGCCCCTCCCCCTACAGGAGGAAGCTGCATGGTACAGGAGCACATATGCATGTGCGCACACTCGCTCTCTTAAATAAATAAATATTTAAAAATAAATAAAATTATGTGTTTAGCTTTTAATAATTTAATGTGTCTCAGTGTAGCCCTATTTCAGTTCCTATTTGGGGTCTTTTGGGTCTCCTAGAGCTGAATGTCTATTTCCCCAGGTTTAGGAACTTTTCAGCTATTATTGCTTTAAATATATTTTCTGTCCTTTTTTTCTTCTTCTGGAATTCCCATAATGAATATCATTTCCTTTCATTGTATCCTCTAAGCTCCACTGGCTTTCTTCAGTCTTTTTTCTTTCTGCTCCCCTGACTGGATAATTTCAAATGTCCTATCTTCCAGGTCGCTGATTCTTCTGCCTGGTTGGGTCTAATTTTGCAGCTTTGGCTGAATTCTTCAATATGGTTATTGTATTTTTTTAGCCCTAAGATTTGTTTGGGCTTTTTGATGGTTTCTGTTTCTTTGTTGAACTTCTCATTTTGTTCATGAATAGTTTTCCTAATTTTATTTAGTTGTGTGTTCTTTTGTGGATCCTTAAAAGAATTCTTCTGAATTTTCTGACTGTTCCTAGATTACATTTCTTTAAAGTAAGTTATTAAGCTTTGCTTCCTTTTTTTGTATCACATGTGTCTGATTTTTTTTTTCATGATCCTTTACTCCTTATGTTGGTATCTGCATTTGACTAAGTGGTCTTCTCTTCCAGGCTATGCAGGTTTGCTTTGGCAGAGACAGTATTTCACCAGTCAGCTAAGCTTGGCCTTCTGGACAAGTCTTCTGATAATGCCTTGGGCAGGTGAAGCTTGCTAGTAGGGTCTATTTTTGGACAAGGCAACTGTTTAAGCTCAGAGATCATGGGGGTTGGGGATTGCACTGGCTGAAAACGGCTGGATAAGACTGCTGGCTTGCTTCCAAATGAAGCTGTAGGTTGAGTTCCATGGTTGCCTAAATTCTCTGGTCAGGCTTCCTAGGGACCAAGTGCTATACTTAGCAGCAGGTGAAGCTATGCATAAGCTTCCCTGCCCTGGCAGGGCAGCAGGACAGAACCCAGGGTCATGGTTCACAGTTTGGGGACCCAAATCAGGCAAGAGTGTGCATTGAATATCTTGGTTGGATGAGGCCACCAATTTTGCTCTGCAGACAGGAAAGCCACGGGCTATGCTCTGTTCAAATGCCATTGTAAATAGGGCTGTTGGGTGGACCATGCAGCTTCCTCTGTGCTCTGGTAAAGCTCCTTAGTCAGGTGGGCTAAAGTCATATTCAGCTGTAAGTGGGACTATGAACTTAAGTTTCCCTGCTGAGGTGCAGTGGGAAAAGCAGCTCCAAAGCCATTAAGGCTCTTTGTGGTCCTGACTCAAGCTGACCCATGCCCAACTTCCCCGACCAAACGGGGCCACTAGCTTTGCTCTAGGGGTGGTCAGTTCTGCACACTTGCCTCTCAGCTCAAGTGTTGCTGGGTTATGCGAAGATTCCAGGTGTTCTTAGCAGCCTTTCCTTATCAGATGGGGCCAAGGACCATGTTCCATAGCGGATGTAGCCATGATTCAGTTATCCTGCCTCAGTGGGACTTGGAGAGCCTCCTTCAGGCAACTCTCAAATTTTCCCGAACAGGCTTTCTGGTCAGGAGGGGTTGGGAGCCACACCTCACAGTTGGTGTGGCTATCACCCAGCTCTTCTGCCCAGGCATGGGGGAGGCTTCTGCTACAGAGCCTGAGGAGGAAGACCTGAATCAAGCAGACTGACAGCTTGCCTGGTCAGACTGTACCACTAACCTGATTTTGCCGGTAAATAAAGCCACTGGTTGGGATTACTACCTGGGCCCTGCAAGTATGAACTTGGTTGGCCAAGATCCATGTGCTGTTTGCTGGAAGTCCTTCCTCATTGATGTCACAGATTCCCCTGCAATCCCCATGGGGTGAAACCATAGTAGGGGCTCCCACAAAGTGACCCACAGCGCTGGAGGAACTGGATGTCTCACCTAAACTCCTCTTTCTTGGAGGAACTGCAGGTTCAGGGGAACTCTCAGTGTGGGGGAGGGGCAGCAAAGTGGGCTTGTAGCCCCTTTTCTCATCTGTCTAGTCTCTGCAAGGCATGCTTCAGCCTCACCCCAGGTTCTAGGATTCTCTCCGTCATGTCTCATCCGTGGATAGCTGCTAGTATTCTTATGAAGGGGAGTGGTCAGGAATGCTACCTTGGTGGTGTCCCTGCCCTTACTATGTGTTGAACATTGTTTTGAGGACTTTATATGGATTAACTTCTTTAATCCTCCCAACCACTTTATGGGACAAGTCACCCCATTTCACAGATATGAAGATTGAGGCACAGAGAGGATAAAGTGGGAACTCTTGTTTGACACACGTCCCCTTTGCTTTTAAATGTGAGTGGAACTCATCCCACTGTCCCTCCGCTCCCTAGCTCCCAAGGGCAGGCATCCCTCCCCTCCATCATGCAAACAGTGCTCTTCTGCCCTTCGCTGGGCCCTCTGTGGAACGTATCTGCTAGAGACGGCAGATTCAATCAGCAAGGCAGGAGATGCGAGAGGAAAGGAGGAAAAGACTTTCCCATTCTATCCAGGACACTGGTGATGTCAGGGGATCCATTTTTTAATCATCATCCCCTCACCTAACCTGCAAAAAGCTGGTGGTGGGACTGGAAACCCCACCAGTCACCCTCCCCCACCAGAGTCTAATTTAGACCACTGGAGACTTTCCAGCCTCCCTCTGGGTTAGAGCAACGTTCCACCCAAGGCAGCCGCCCTGCTTCATTCCTAGAATAGGGTTTAGGCTTTGAGCTTTTAACTGGCAGGGCTGGGGGGGGGGTGGAGGGGGCACAGGCCTGGAAAGGACTTGTTCAGGTCACAGAGCTTGCAGGTGTCAGAGCCAAAGGTAGACCCAGATGTCCCACGGCCAAGATTATCTCCCCCTCCCCAAGCTGCCATTTTGTGTGGAAGTCTTCATGGCGGTGGGGGTGGGGGCTGCCATTGACAACTTTGTACCTTTCTGAAAATACTCAATGAACATCTCACAGAAGAGCTTTGGGAGACTGTCTGATCCTAGGTTAGACCAGTAAAAGGGAAGATAATCAGAACACCGCCCTTTCTTTTCTTGTATTTGCATAAAATCTCCAGAAGGAACCTTTGAAGAGAAGACTGGCCCAAGGATGGACAGACTTTTGTTCACATGGCTCAGTACTCAAATGATACATGTAGCCTGTTCAAAGTAGGTATCTTTTTAAAAACACTCTTTCCTGAAGAGTGGCTGGGCGTCAGAGCTCCTCAGTTCTGGTCCCGCTTCTTCCACACCCTGACTGTAACTTTGGTTAACTCTCATAATCTCTCTAGGCCATTTCTGCCACTGTAAACATGAGGGGACCAGTCATCTGCAAGGTTCCCTTCAGCTACAAAGGGCTAGGAGTCTAGACTCCCCAGCTAGACTCTATCATCTCAAAGGGGAGAGATGGGACTGTTTTAGTCTTTGGAAAAAGTCTGCCTTGTAAAGCTTGAACCTGGGGCAGTGGCTGGGAAGGGGGGGTTGCTCACCCAGCTAGAAGGCCCTCCCTCCCTGGGACCCAGCTCTTCAGACCAAGTGGGCCAGGACTATTGTGTGATCAGGACAGAAGGTGCTGACATAGGGGAGCAGGCTCAGTATAACTCGGCTTTTGGAGATGTGTAGATCTAGGTTCAAATCTTGGGTGACCCTGAGCTGTTAGTCATTTAATCTCTCTGAGCCTGAAGCTCCCCATCTATAAAACATACCAACTTCACAGGTTAAGTGGGTTAAATTAGGTAATATTTGAAAGGCACCTGCACACGGAAGGTTCGACCAATGTTAGCATCTCTCCTCCCTCCCTTCATCAGAGCAGGTAGGACACTGGGACACAGAGGAGGCTCCATTAAGCTGTATGTTTGAAGTGGTTGTCTCATGCAAATCTGTGAAACACAGCCACCTGGGTTGGTTCTCCTAGCAATTCTGTTGCTATAAATCCAAAACTATGTTGGCTGCTCACACCACTGGAGCAGAAAACAAAACCCACCTAACTTTGCCAGCTTAGGGCTTCAGGGGGCTTGGCTTTCATTTGTGTACATGCAGAAAACGATGCCGAGTAGTCTGGGAGATGGCACGGTGAGTCTCCAGCTGGTAGGTGGCAGAGTGGGGCGGGGAATGAAGAATATCAGTGCTTCCTGAGGTTTCCACGCAGCAGGGACAGGCAGCTCTGGGGGCACAGATGAGAGGCCAAGGGCTCTCATGTGGCAGAAACTAGGCTACTTCCTTCGGGACCTGCAGGTCTCTGAGCCCCTGGGTTTTCCTCCCCACACCTGTATTACAGGCTTGTTGTGAGTAGATTAGACCACCTAGGAAGGGGTTTGAGAATGTTAATTTTTCCTTCCTTTATTCTTAAGAGGAAGGAGGCCAGGGCCTTCAAAGAGGAGGAGACACATTCACACAGCTGCCTTGTGGCAAATGGACCTGCAGGGATTTAATTGCTGTAGAAAACACAGGATTGTCACCAGAGTTGGTTGTAACACATGAGCTAGCCCCAAAGCACACAGCATGAGCCAAATAACAAAATGGACTTTTTTTCTCTATGGTAGACTGATGCCTAAGGGGTGGGGGTGGAGGGGGAGGGAGGTAAAAAGTTTCTTAGTTCCGGACAAAGAACTGAGTGAGAGGCTGGCAGAGACTTGGTTTGTATGCAGTGGAGAGGCGAGGGCAACCCATAGCTTTTGAGACAAATACGGGGACATTTTATTTAAACAATGGGACAGATGTCCGAGAACATGGCCTGCAGCCCCTCGAGGAGCCCTCTGATGGGAAGCGGGACTGCGGGGAGCCGTGCCAGAATGGCAGCGGCTCGACCTGGCACAAGATCCCCACTGCCGGTGCCAGGTGCTGCCTTCAGAACCGACCTACCAGCTCTGAGGACGGATGCTAGAGGGGTGGAAACAAGAACCCCCCCTTCTCCGTGGCGGCCCAGAAAGACAAAACTAAGATGAGGACCCAAAGCCATCCCAGGCTTTTCCTAGGGCTTGTTGGCTTCTTGAAAGTTGTATGCTTGCAACCTGAGACTTGGGGGCCGGGGGGAGGCTCCAGGGAGGAGCCCAAGGGAAGGGAAGGGGGTGCCCCTGAGGAAAGCACAGAGCCAGCAGAGGGAGGAGAGGCAGCAGAGCTTCTGGGGGCCAACTACCAGCAACCTCTGTATGAGCTCTGGGCCCAATCCTGAGATAGAATGCTCAATAAGGAGACTCGAAAAAAGAAAGAAAAGGGTCTGTCTGAGGCTGAGGTATTAAAGCCTGGTCCCCCAGGGTACAGACATGCTGGGGGGCTTTGTTCTATGAATTAAGGACCATATGCACATCACTGCAGGAGCACTAAGCATGGAGCCCCCTGCAGGTCCAGGGGATCAACTCAGCTCCAACGGGAGGCCCTTGGCCTTGGGAGGCAACTCCTAATACCATGTCCTCCCTCCTGAAGGCTCCCGGGTCTCCATCACCCCATGTCAATGCTGCCTCATCCAGGTGGGAGTTCCCAGAAGTCCACATTCTTCAGCGTGATACATGTGGGCTCAGAGGGGCAGCTTACAGTGTTCAGTGGCACCATCCTTTCCACCCAGCCCTGGCCTCCATGGTTCCTCTGACTGGGGCAGGCAGCAAATAGGGCACCTGGGGCAGGAGAACGCTCGCTCAGAAGGAACAGAGCGCAGGCAGCTCCTCAGGCACTTGGTCCGGGCGCGGGAGAGGTCGGGGCCCTAGTAGTGATACACCTTCAGTGTGTTGTGCTCATCCAGGCCCAGCTGCAGGAGTCTGGAGCCAGCCGCTGGCTTGGGCACTGAAGAGAACAGCTGTCTGGCCATTAAGTGAAGGAAATCTCTGCAGTGGAGTCCACTAAGCACATCCAGGGAGGGGCCAAAGGCCACACGCGGTCCTCCTTGGACCCACCCGGGGTACAAACACAAGCCCCGAAGCCCAACTCAGCCATCCCGGCACTGACCACAGGAAGGGCCCACGGCCTGGGGAGCAGCAGTCAAAGGATACAGCGTGGGGTCATTCCTGTAATGTTCTAGCCACTTGCGGTTGGCCTCGATCATGCTCTGAAAGTCAGGGCTGCCCACCCCGGGGCCGTGGGCCTGGGACCGCTGCAGGAGGCGCAGCTGCTCACTGGGAAGGAGGTGACAGAACTGGAAGAAGGGGCCGTGCGACACGGGCCACAGGCCGGCACATCTCCCTCTTCCTCTATGCACACCAGCCAGGGGCTGTGAGGGGTTGCTTCAGCAACTCAAAGCTTCCTTTACTGGCAGGAATGCTCTTCTGGAAGGATGTCCTTGTTCCCCAAGGACAAGGTGGTGGACCCCTCCACCCCTCCCCTGGGTGGACACTCCTGGCATCAGCCCTCCCACATCTGCCTGGTCCCAGCCCAGCCAATTAGCGAAAGCTTTCCCCTCTGTTGACTCAAATACCTGCCTAACATCAGCTCCCCAGTGGGTCAAAGGGTAAGTGGGGGTGTTTATGGCAGGGGGCCTGTGAGGGAGTGGGGGTGGGCAGGGGATAATTTGGCAAGGAAGAAGATGAATGGGAAATTAATAACAGGTTTAAATAATTGCCCATCTGTCTCTCCCACAGGGTGCCCCTCTCACTCCAGATGTTGCTCAGCAGGACCCGGGGAAGAAGGGAACCTACAAAGCAGACAATGAGCTTAATGGCAAAGACAAAAGCCATGCTCAAGGGCAGGAGGGGCCCATCTCTCCCTGCAGGTGCTACCAGGCACCTTCCCCATACAGGTAGGCCAGGTGAGACCAGCCGCCACTGGGGTCGCGGTGGGCTGGGCTTTGATCGCAGAGGCACCTCAGACACAGGCAACTTTGTGGTCCTGGAGCCTATCCCAGCTCTCTGGGCAACATGACCAGAGTTCTCCCCTGGGAGGTGCCACCTGTCCAGGGAGGTGCAGGAAAGCAACAGGGCTGTGTGGTTCCCACCCTGAGCCCACGGTGAGGCTTACCTGGCAGACACATAACCCAGCCTGTTCTCCAGTGGGGCAGGGTTGCTGCTGAGGAACGGAACTCCAGCTGGAAAAGTGGGAGGCAATTGTCCAGAAACGGGCGGTGGAAGCCAGCCCAAACCCATCTGCGCCACTCCCACCTCCCGCAGACACCAGCAACAGGGAACGTTTCGGTGGTTGGATGTGAGACACAGATGAGAGACAGAAATTTGTCCTATTTACTTCTAAAATTGAAGCTACTTTTCTTTTAGGATTCACAAAAAAGATATGTAAATTCCCCCCCCCCCAAATAACTATGTTTTTATGGCTTTTTGCATTCTTCAGCAGGACTTAAGAGACCAGGTGAGGCCTTCTCGCCCAGAGGCAGGGCAAAGCTATATGGCCGAGGGGTTATAAGCAGAATCTTGAAGTCACGGAGACAGGGAGCTCAGAACCCAGTGTGTTACTTATTCTCTGGAAACCCTGGGGCATATCTCTTAACCTCTCTGAGTCTCAGTTTTCTTGTCTGTAAGGTGGGGATAAATGTCACTACCTCAGAGGCTTATCAGAACTGACTCATGCCTGGCCCCTCACACAAAGCACAAGATGGCAGTGATGACGGGGATGACCTTTCAGGTTCTGCTAAGCTCTGGATTACATCAGAAAGGCTCCAATCAGCCCAAGCTCCAGGTAAACTGTAGACCCACGGAGCCCTTGGTTACAGGGAAACCAGCAAGTCGTCTTCCCATAATGGGATGGACCTTGCCCAAGCCAGGGGCAATAAGGGGGAGGCTTACTTGGAAAATACTTGCGCCACTTCTCCACCAGGAAGTCGTCCACTGTCTGAGTCACAGAGGAGGAGAGCCTGGGGCCCAACCCGGGGTCCCAGGCCCACTGGGTGGATGTAGGCCTACCCAGCGGTGAGGCTGAGACCCGGGCCAAGGAGGGGCAGGTGGGCGTGGGGGCACTCCTGGGGTCCCGGGCCAGGGTGTGCACCGGTGTAGCAGTGAAGAGCGGTGGTGGCAGCTGCGGGTTGAGACTGCCCAGCATGCTGAGGACACCATTCAGTTGGCTGCTGATCTGATGCAGGGAATTGCTCAAATAGTGGAACTCGTTGGGGAAGGCGGCACTGGTGGTCAGGTTGACTGAAAGGAAAGGACTAGGCTTCAGGGCCCCGGGCACCCTACTGGTTGCCCCTCCCTGGTCTGCAGGACCACAGCCCCTCAGCTGACGGAAGTCACAGGGATGGCAGGGCTTCTGAATTCCAGATAGCGCAGACCAGAAGCTGGCCAGGGGAAAAAGCCTCTCCAGAGAGCAGCAAGGAAGGAGGAGGAGATGTCCTCTGCAGACCAGAGCGGCAGAGGGAGAACATGCCCCAGAAGGCACTGGAAGGTCTGTGCACATTCACGTAGTCCCTGTGTGCTGGGTCACTCCTTCCGAGCATTACTGAGTATCTGCTCCAGACGCTGGCTCCCAGAGGCGTACCCATGCAGGGCTGAAGGAGGGGGGCTGCCCCTCCCCACACCCCTCCCTCTTGGTGGGTACTGTGGCCCACCCCCTGCAGCCACTGACACTCACTGTGAGGCAGGGAGCAGGCCTCAGAGCTGGTGCTGCTCATGTCTTCCATGTCGCTGAGGTCAAAAGTCACCACCTTCTTGGTGGGGGCTCTTCTCAGAGTGTCCTCTTCTGAAGCCTGAGGGGCACAAGCAGCAGTCAGTACTGGTGCCTGCCCAGTGCGTTCTCCCCGCAGTCCTTGCAATGGGTGGGCACTCTCTGGAAACCAAAGTTCAGAAAGAGGGACACCATACTGGCTGCCTTGCGGCATGGGGGAAGGGAGGCAGGGCTAGGGGGCACCATGGGCCCAAACCACAGGCAGCAGGGCCCCAGAACCAGGGCCCCTTCCCCCCTGCAGGGTCTCTCCACCTGGGCTTTCCTCCAACCACACCCACACCTCTGGCATCAGGGGACAAGGCCCCAGGGAAGCCTAGGTCTGTCCATTCCAAACCCCCGGGGCACAGCTCTCCTCAGGGGCCAATCAGGGGATGGGCAGGGGCCAGCGCCTCTCAAGAACCCACAGCAAGAGGCTCCAGGTCTGCTCAACCACTCCGCACAGATATATGTAAACCCACAGATGTGGGGCCGGAGCCACGTCGCACCTCTTCCTGAAGAGAGGACTCCAGCTGAATGAGCTTCTCCTCCTTCTTCCTCAGCAGGTCATGGCCCTTCTGCATGGCTGACCTCATCTCATCCAGATGCCTGGTCTCCTGCAGCCAGAGAGATGGGGGGGGCGGGGGGACTAAGCACAGATGCTGGAGCCCCAGCTCTGCGTGTCATTAGCCAGGTGAGTCTGTGCAAATGACCTCTCAGTCTAGACTGTCATCTGCAGAAGAGAAATACTAGTCTTCTAGGGTTGTAAGGATTGGAGGAGGTAGATATATGCTTCGCCCGGGCCCGTACCTAACACTCTCCAAGGGTTGCTCTCAGTGCAGGGTTATCATGTCAGTGCTCCCGCTCCCTGCACTCTCAGCATTCAGCAGAGCAGGGAGGGCCTGAGGGTGGCAGGCCGATGCCTCTGGGAAGCCTGCCCTGTGCCAGCTCTGAGCACCAACAGAATTCTAAGGAAGCGGGCTCCACCAAGACCCTCAGAAGGCAGCACTAGGTCTCTGCCTTTTCACTGGAAATCAGGTGATCAGAAAAGCATGTCAGCCTGGCGCCCAGTGTGCTCAAAGGATTCACTTATGAACCAAGTCTTCAGTGTGATGGAAAGGACAAGCAAAACACTGGATGGAAAATTTTTAAATCCTCCCTTGTACTTCTCTCCTAGAAAGCCAGAGTAACACCCCTGCCTTGCACATCATCCGTGGTCACCATGAGGATCAAATGATTAAGCGCTGAAGAAAGCACTTTCATCCTCACGGACACAGATAACCCGCGTCACCTGCCCAGCACCCCCCAGATCCCCCCACCATGAGGGAGGCAGATTCTCCTCCAGGCTCCTGACCTCCTCCAGGTCCTTGCGCACATCTTCCAGGGCCTTGGCGCTTGGGGGATCCTGGGTGGCCTCCTGAGCACTGGCCAGCTCCTGGCGCCAGTGCTCCTGCGCGGCCTTCAGGGCCGTCTGCCGCCTCCGCATGGAGCGTGTCTGCTGCACCAGGAACTCCTTGGCACTACGGAGCGCTATGCCCTCAGCAGAGAGGTAGTGTCGGACACTGTGGGTGGCAAGGCCAGGGCAGGAGGGGTGGAAAGGGAAAAGACACATTCTGAGAACCTCCTGCTGTTGGTCCCCTGAGCGCTGCCCCGACCGAGGCCCATCCTGAGCACACACAATGATGCTGGGCTGAATATTGCTGGTGTTCACACTCTACTGCGCGGCACCCTGCACAGTCCTCCCACCCTACCTCTAAAGGGCTTCCAGACAGAGGGACACACACTCCCACCAGCCTGATCCTCAACCAGAGGGTAGCAGATCCCAGGATGCTGGATCAGTGGTCATAACGGGCACCTCCTTGGCTTGCCAAAGAAATTCTCTGTGTCCCTCAGGTCCTCGTCCCCAAACCAAGCCCCACTGGCGATCGCAGTCAACTCATTTCACTTCACCCTGAAGGGAACTCACCCCTTCATGGAACCCTGGATTCAAACTAAGGTATCAGAACTCACCTGTCCAAGGACAAGTTGGTCTCCTCCTTGCTCTGGGAGAGAGTAGAGGATACCTCTTTGGTCTGGTTCTAAGGACATACAGTAGAAAAGACCCACTGAATATCAGATACACTGCAGGCTCAAGGGACCCCCCAAAGCTCCTACCAGGGGCCTAAACAGGTAATGGCTCTGGGGGCTGCTGGGCGCTATTCACTCACCAGTATTGTTTGACTGATGGAGGTGGAGGACTGGGAATATTAAGGACAGGAAGCTAAGGTCAAGGTCATAGATAAAGCAGAGCTGGGACCCCTCCTAGAGCCCTGCCCCAGACCCACCAAACTGTCCCTTCCAAGGCACAGAAAACTCACTGTCCCAAAGGATTTCCTCAGGTCCTCAATGCGAAGATCCAGCTCACACTGTGCAGAAGCGTTACTCTCCTTAGCTGCCAGCTCTTTCAGTATGTCCTGCTTCCTCTGGGCTTCAGCCTCCAGGTCGCTGTGATTGGGAGTGGGGGATGGGGTGGGGGAGGCAGGGTCATATGATGCAGCAGGGCAGGCAGCACACTGTCATGACTGCTGGGTGGGGGGGCCTTCAAGCCCTGGTCTTAGGGAGACAGCAGGCCCACCTCCATCCCGTCACATCCATCAAAGCCGCTGGGGCAGGGCTGAGGCATGACCAGTAGAACCAGGGACCCCTAGGTGTTCACAGCCTCTCACCTCTTACTCCCTACAAAATGCAGCAAGGCCCCTCTGCCTAGTTCCACCTCTGCCCACCCAGGCGTGTCAGGCAGGAGGCAGCAGGCGAGTCCAAGTGCAGAATGCTCACATACCTGACTTGCTTCTGTAGCCTCTGACTCTGGGTCTGCAGCGCATCTACCTGGGACTCCAGCTCCAATTTGTGGGCCCGAAGTTCATCGAGAAGTTTCCGGAGCTGTTGGTTGGACTCCAGCAGGTGGGTGTGCTCCTTCTTTGCCTCCTCCAAGTGCTGATGGTTGGCCGTGGCCTCCTGGTGGGAGAGAAGCACCCGGAGACATGTGGGACAAAGGCGGGAAGTAGGACAGGGAAGCCTGAACAGCCAAGGAAAGAGGGTGGACCTCAACGACACTGCAGCGCCGAGGTCAGGAAGCATGCAGGCTCTGCCTACTCTCCACAGCCCCACCCCCTGGGGATCTCAGCTGGGCTCCAGCCAGAGGGCCCTGCTACCCGTGGGATACCGCCAATGTAGTTGGGAACCCTAGTGCTCGCAGCAGATCAGGTGAACCAAAGGCGGGATGCTATGGGGAGAGGGGCAGGGAGGGTGACAGGAATGAGGAAAGATAGCACAGGGGAGGCTGGCACACCTCGCTCTTTAGCGCAACCTGCCTCTGCACATCAAGGAGCTGCTGCTGCTCCCTTCGGGCAGTCTCCTCCTGCGGGCAGGCGGGGGATAGAAGTGGGGCCCTTGGCCATCTCCAGGCGCCCCGGGTGTAAAGGGCAGGAGGACCTGTGCTCCCCTAGGGAGCTGCGACTCCAAGGTCAACGGCACCTGGAGATCCCACCCTCCACGTCCACTCTCACCTGGAGATCCAGCTGAGCCAATTTGGCCTTGACATCTTTGGTTCTGGTTTCAAGTTCTACCTCCAAATCTTGGAGTTTCCTTTCCTGCACAGAAATAGGCAGCGCGAGAAATATAAGTGTGGAAAGAGTGCAAGGTGTCAGCTAAGGGCACGGGGGGAGGGGGGGTCCCTACCCACCCTACCCACCCTACCCTTCCATACCACACACCCCCATGCAAGGCTCAGACCTTCTTCCACTTGCCCTTGCAGGCTCCCCGGAAAGTACCACACCTTGTGTCTTCCCCTCAGGGCAAAGAGAGGCAAAGGCGCTAACCCCAGGGCCCTGGGCAGGGGGAGGGGACTGCGCTCCTCTAATCTGGGGGATGCTCCCTGGCCCAGAAAACAAAGGAGCCATGTGTCCTGGCTGGGGGATGGCCAGCGAGAGACACCCCACACCTGCAGCTATCAAGGCTCCGATCTGCTGCTGCCACGGCTGCCGGCCCCCAACACATGTCCATTCCTCCTCCCTGGGCCCCTCGATGGCCCAGAGCCCTGACCTGCTCCCAGTGCCGACGCCGCAAGTCCTCAAGCTGCCTGTCCTGTGTCTGCCTCACGGCCTCCAATTCTCGCTCGTGTGACTTTCGCAGGCGCTCCAGCTCCCTGGTCAGGTGGCCCAGGAGTTCTGTCCGCTGCTTCCTCTCCTGCCCAGAAGGGGAGGCCGCTGGTGGGAAACTGCAGAGGCCTTCAGGCCTGCGGCTCCGGGTCAGTAAGGCAGGGGACCCCAGCGGATCCCTAGGGCCAGCCCTTCGAGAAGAGGAGCTTTCTAGGCCCTAGAAAACCTGCACCCCTCTCTGCCACTGACACAGGCACTGGTCGGATGCCATGAGAAACCCCCTGTGGGATCAGCCCGTCCTGCTGTCTACTGGATCCAGCTTCCTTCCTCCAGGGAAGAGCACTCATTAAAAAATTATCACTGCTCTTCAGCGAGGTCAGATTCGGTTTGGGAAGGGAAACAACTACATTTTATCATGGGCCAGCTATTTCTGCATGGGAAAGACCGTATGGAGAGGTTGGGTTATGGGGTCCAGTTACAGAAACAGCAGCCTCGAAATCCCAGGCAGAGGCCCAGCTGTTAGCCAACCTCAGGCCCCACCGCCACCCCTGTTCACCTGCAGTGGGAGCCAGCCACACCGGCGTGGGTAGACCTTCACCTATGGGTGAAGGGGGAACATGGGCAGATCAGCTCTAAGTAGTGTGTGGCTCTTGCCAGGCTATTTCTTGGTGTCCTGGAATTCTGATTAACCCCAATGGCATGGTGTCAGGTGGTTAAAGCTAAAGGCCTTGGAAGGAGACCATCAGGGCTTGAATCTCAGCTCCTTGACTTACTAGCCTGGTGCATTTGGGAAAGGGGGCTCACACTGCTAGGTCTGTTTCCTTTTCAAGCTGGAAGTCACTCTAGCCCTCACCTTCTCTGGGTGCTGAGGGCACTAAACAAGTTCGTGAACATCAGGGCTGAGAAGAACGTGGGCAGAGGGTACAAGCTCAGTATCTGTAAGCCGCCGCCACTCAGGGAGGGAAGGAGCCTGCCTGCTATGGGGGAGACACTCCTCCGCTGCAGCAGTAAGCAGGTGATTGGGACAGCACCACTGCCGGGCGCCAGCCAGCTGCCAGGGACTGTGGGATGGGTGCGTTTGTGCGCCGGGGAAGGGGCAAGTCACCTCGGCTTCATACTGCTCTCTGGCTTCAGCCACCACCTGCTGGTGCTCCTCCTTCATCTTGTCCAGCTTCCTCTCGTGTTCCCTCTCCACCTCCTGGCGCTTCTCCCGCAGGAGGCCACTGAGCTGCAGGGTAGGTGGCAGGGATGTGACACACCGGCCTAAGGGGGGACCAGCCCCTGAAGGCAGAGTACACGCCCGCCCTGGTGCCCCCCCACCCACACACATCACACGAGCATGACAAGTGACATATGCACACCACACCCCACTCATGCACAGGGGTGCCAGGATGGAGAAGCGCCTGGCCCCAAGGGAATGGAGGCATAAAAATGCAACGAGAAGTTCTAGCCCCAGCTGAGCCATCCAAAGCAAAGCAGGGACCCCTGGGCTAGGATGGAGTGCCCAGGACAGGGATACAGGAAGCCACCAGAGTCTGCCAGCATTTACCTCTTGCTCATACTGGAGGACCTGGTGAACCTTCTGCTGAGCCCTCTGCTCCACCCGACTGAGACGCCCCTGCAGCTGGGTCTCCTCTTTCTGCTGAGCTTCCTCTATCTTCTTCTGGAGGCTGGAGACAACCTGAGGAGGCCCCAGCACAGGGGATGTGACTCAGTGCTGCAGAGCCGCCTTGGAGGCTCACCTTCCAGGGGTCCAGTGCCCACCCTCATGGGGCTGCAGGGGGAGGAAGGCTCCCGCCCCAGGGGCAGGCATGGGGTCAAGCTCTTCTGCCTGGTAGCAGTGAAGGGGCCTTGAGGCTCAGACTCAGACACCAGGATGGCGGGCCCCGCCTTACAGGCCAGGGCCGGCTGCCTCTCACCTCTCTGTGCTTGGCCTCCAGCGAGGAAGAGAGCCGGTCCAGCTCAGCTCTGTGCTCCCTCTCCAGGGCTGCCACCGCCTAGGGAGCAACAAGGAGCCTGTGAGGGAGGCAGGGCAGGGAAGGCTGGCCGGGCATGGGCCCCAGGGGAAGGAAGACCATGTAGACTCTCTCCCAACTAAAGGGCCAAGGGAAACCACAGGCACATCTTTGTCCCCCCCAGAATAACTCAGTCCCTAAAGTCTGCAACTAGCAAATGAACAAGTTGAGGCCAGAGTGGAGGGGCATTTCATAAGTCTCAGGTCACCGCACCCATCCCCCTCCCTGCCCCCAGGCTAGGCCATGGATACCAGGTCACACTCATGCCCATGACTAGGGCCCGAGGCTGTGAGGGCTGGAGGTCCAGTGCCATCTGTCTGAGCCCCTGGGCACCCTCCCCCACCTTGTGGAATCTCTCCTTCTCTAAGCACTGATGCTCACCATCACCCAGAGAAAAATCTCCATGTGGCCTGTTCCTTACTTCCACCTCTTATCTAGAGACAGACCGTCAGGAAACAGGATTGGAGGCACAGGGCTTAAAGGCAAAGGAGAAAACCTCCCTCTAAGGGTGCAATCTCTCTACAGCAGGAGAGAGATGAGAGGTCATTGTAGCTGCCCCTCAGGGCCCAGGATGGGGACAGGGCACCTTTTTTTGCAGGACGTCCGGTCTGGTCTAAGTTCTTTTAGTGGCAAAAGCTTCCCAAATCCACAGGCCATTTCCCCTCCAACCTCTTCCCTGCCACTGACAGCTCCCAGCCACTGCTGGCCTTGGTCAGTGCCCTGGACACCTGCCACACCCTCCACTGTGCCATGCAGACAGGCTAGCACCTGCCCTGGACAGCAAGGCCCACGCGGAGCAGTGGGCCCAGACGGTTGGCCCACCCACTGTCTACCCTCTCCCTTGCCAGCCATGTAGACACCTCCTCTGTGCCTGGTCCCCCACCCCACACAGCCTGGCACCCAGCCCCTCCACACGTAGCCCAGGGGCATGTCAGACGGGAGGCCCCACGCTGCTGGCTCACTTCTTTCCTCTCCCCCTGCAGCTGCTCCCTGAGCTGCCGCAAAGCTGCCTCCTTCTCAGCGTTCAAGGCAGCCTGCTCTCTCTTCTCCGAGGCCTCCATCTCTTCCTTGAGCTGCTCCAGCATCTGTCTGCTCCTCTGTTCCAAGCTGGCCCTCTCAGCCTTCTGGAGAGACTCCAATTCTTCTCTCAGCTTCTGCAGGGAAGCCTCCTGCTCGGCCCTGATGGACAGACGGGACAGAATGGGACAGACCCGTGCACTCCAGTGGCATCGCCACGGGGCGGCTGGCTCACAGTGCGTGCTCACCTGAGTCGGCCCTCATCTGCCTCTGCACTGGACCGCACCTGGGCCCGGAGCTGGGACAGCCTCTGGCTCTCCTCCTCCCTCATCTGACTCTCCTCTTCCTCAGTGGCTTTCTGCAGCTGCTCCTTCAGGGAACTGGGACGGAAAAGAAAGGGAACTTTGTCAGAGGAACCACTCTTGTATTTGTAGTCTCTGACTCTGGGCCTCCAAAAACCTGTAGTTCGCCTGCAGAGCTTCCTAAATCTGGGTCCTTCCGCCTCCCTACAATACCTTCCAGGGTAAAGAACGGACCATGAACACTATCTGCTCTCTGCCACAGCAAGAGGACGGCAGGCAGCTTGATCCCAGAACAACTTTTCTGCCAGAGGCTCCCCTCTGCCTACAGATGCACCTCAGCATGGCATTCACTCAAGGACAGATCCAGTCTGACTCCAACCTCGCTCTGGTGCTGTGTCCTCTCATTCCCCACCTAAACCAACCGTTCCAGCCACATCAGAGGAGCCACCGCCTCTCAGTCCCGCCACACACCTCCTTGAGCCTCGGCCCTTGTTCGTGCTGGAGCCTCTCCCTAGAATTCCGTTTTTGACTTGACGATATTCACCACTCAACACCCAGCTCCCTCCTCTCAGAGAAGTCTTCCCAAGAGCTGCCGGGTTCACTGATCAACCTGTTCCCTTTGCCCTTCCTTATCCCGTGCCACTCTGTACCATATATCACAATTCATCTCTTCACGTGTCTCCCTTCCTTACAAGTCTGGGAGCTCCTCCAGAGAAAGAATCATGTCTTAAAGTCTGTTATATCCGAGGTGTTGAACACAGTAGCTGACACGAACTAGGTGCTCCATAAATATTTGGGAAATCTCAACAGCATCACCCAGCCCCAAACTATGAGCAAGAGCTGACAATCCATGAAGGACATCTTATTTACAGGCAAACGACAGTAACCATTTCATCTGAGGCAGACACCCCCCTGCCCATGCAGCCCCTACATGACTGGGGGCCATGTGCTGTGCAGTCAGGGAATTCAAGCCTGAGAAAAACATGATCCAGAAGACAATGTCTTTGAAAAGCTGCCTAGTGAATTCCAAAGCCAAAAAAGAATTAGGGTCATTTTCTTGTTTCAAGTCACCTGCACCACTGCTCTCCTCCATTATAATAGAAAATTTGAGTTAAATAAAAATCCTCCCTCCTGGATTCCCCAGAAATCCTTTCTCCTTGTCCAACGGCTCCACGTTCCACACGGCATCACAGGATGTCAGAGCTAGAAGGGTCCTGAGAGGTTAAGTCCTTCATTTTTACCACAGTCTCTTTTTCATCTCACAAATCAATCAATCTCTTCTTCTTTACGACTAAAGAAACTAAGGGTGGCCCTGCCTGCCTTCCCATTCAAGAAGTACCTGCTATGAGTTCAACTGTGGCTTCCAGAAATTTCTACCAAGTGGAAGTTTCACAGTAGAGATGGCCATAGCCCTCATGTACACACAATCTCATCCACACAGACCAGCCTAGCCTTAAGTGTCTTACTTGTCAAGGGCCACCCAGTCAGCTACGCAAAGAGCAGGAACCCAGATGGAAACCTCTGTGTCCCAGGAAACAGCACCTCACATTAGATTGTGTGGTTCCGGGATCCCTGGGTGGCGCAGCGGTTTGGCGCCTGCCTTTGGCCCAGGGCACGATCCTGGAGACCCAGGATTGAATCCCATATCGGGCTCCCGGGGCATGGAGCCTGCTTCTCCCTCTGCCTATGTCTCTGCGCGCCTCTCTCTCTCTCTCTATCATAAATGAATAAAAATTAAAAAAAAAAAAAAAGATTGTGTGGTTCCTACTAATCTCGCTGGGTCCCAACAGGGCCCTGACTCCCAAGAAAACAACACAGTGGTTAGGAAAATGGGCTCCAGGGACCAAGTGCCTAAGCTAATCAGACTCTGCTGCTTATGAACTTCGACACCTTGGACAGGTCACTTAGCCTCTCTGAGCCTCAGTCTCTTCATCTGTATAATAGACCCTATAAGATGGGTAGCAACACCGCATAGGAGCCACTCTCAGGACTAAACCAATTAACAAATATAAAGCACAGGGACTTTAATCTCTCAAAAAGTTCACTACCTCCACTATTATCATGCCTCCCAACTCCCAAAAACACAAACCAGGGAGCCCATTTCCCCCGCACAGCCCACCAAGGAGGAGTCTCAGTGGGGCCACAGGGCCCTGGGGTTGGGGTAGGGTGCCCCCTGCTCCCCATGTCACTGCAAGGCCCAACTGCTTGCCTAAGGGGAAGGGCAGGACCTGAGAGCCTTCTCTTTCTGCTGGTGAAGCTGGAGGATCTCCTCTTCCTCCTCCTGCCACAGCTTCTCCCGCAACTGCTGCATCTTCTCTTGCTTCGATTCCAGAAGCCGCCTCCAGTCTTGCTCCAGTTCTTGAGCCATGGCCTCTTCCATGGCCTTCAGCGAACCCTGCTCTGGGGGAGCTGCAGGCTCTGTAGATTGTCTACCGAGGGTGGGGGACAGCATTTCATTAGACTTAATATCTCATCTTTTATATAAATACAGAAAAACACACACGAATCCTAAAGGAGGGCCCACGATCAGGAATCACATGCAAATCAGGCCACCCAAGGGCCAGTAGGAGGGTTACCCCTTCAAAGATACAGGGAGCACTGGTTCCTAGGGCAAGCCCCACTGTGGTTAAAGCCCCAAGAGCCGCAGGAGAAGGGTACCCCATATTAGGTTCGGTGGACCTGGGTAGGCTGTAGAGCAATGTAAAAACCTGAAGATGTGGCTCACGAGCTGGCAATAACAGGGAGATTAAAGCTCTGTCCTTAATGGATTCCTCCCCAGGATGGTTCATGGCCCTGTTCCCGTCTCCCCACTAAGGCTCTGCCTGCTACTTGAGGCTCACACCAGCAGCTCAGGGCATCCCCAGAGGCTCTGCCTCCTGAACTGAACACAGGCCAAGGTTTAGGAGCCAGCAGGAGAAGCAGCATGTGTGTCTCCTACCCTAACACCCAAAATGGTCCATGGAGGTCCAGAACAGTAAGGCCAAGGGAGTAGTCACCTGCCTGGCTCCCTTGGCCAAAGACAGTACCAAGAGCGTAACAATGTCCCACTCCATCTCTCCCTGATGATGCCATGTTTGCATCTGCTTAGAGTTAACTCAGTGTTAACAGATAAAAGAAATTCATTGCTAACTTGGATCCATAAGGTGGGTGGTGAGATAAGGAATAATGATACTGTTACAAATAAGTCTATAGGGATCCCTGCGTGGCCCAGTGGTTTAGCGCCGCCTTCGGCCCAGGGAGCGATCCTGGAGTCCCAGGATCGAGTCCTACATCAGGTTCCCTGCATGGAGCCTGCTTCCTCTTCTGCCTGTGTCTCTGCCTCTCTCTCTTTCTCTCTGTGTCTCTCATGACTAAATAAATAAAATCTTAAAAATATATATATGTCTATAAAGTCATGAAGGATGTTATGTTCCTTGTATTCTCATTCTTTTTTTTTTTTAATTAATTATTCATTCCTGAGAGACACAGAGAGAGAGGCAGAGACATAGGCAGAGGGAGAAGCAGGCTCCTCGCAGGGAGCCCAATGTGGGACTCTATCCCAGGACCCTAACCTGAGCTGAAAGCAGACGCTCAACTGCTGAGCTACCAAGATGTCCCTGTATTCTCATTCTTGAAGGAAAGGCCCAGAGAAAAACCCAAGAACATTTGGAGGCGTGAGAGCATAAGCGGGATGAAGTACTTGGCCTCCCGGGGCAACTCTCCTAAGGCCAGCGCATGTTTGCATTCCTAGGTCAGGTCCTTTGATCTTACATTAGAAATGAGAGATGGCCACACAACCACCACCCTTCCCCGACGATGCCTGGGTGCAGGAGGCCAGGCACGCTGGCCCCATCAGCCTCTGCAGCATGTGGGTACAGTCCCCATCAAGGAGCACTGGGGCAAGAGTCAAAGAAGGGAGCCAGTGCTCCTGCTGGGGACGCAGGACCCCCTTTCCTTCACCGCAGCAGATGGAAGGCAGGAGGCAGGATCAGATTAGAAGAAAAGAAGGACTTTGGAATTCCATTTTGGCCCCTTGAGACCAGCGAGAGAAGGAAGACACAAAAGACTCCTGATGTCTCTGAAATACCAATAAGATTTCTCCCTTCCCTCTTTCCTAAAATCATTAACCCCAACCAGACACAGCCATGAGCTAGGCCTTCAGTTCTCTTCTGCTCTCAACCCATTTTCTGCCCCCCTCCCAGGCCAGCTCTGCTTCAGGTCCCCTGGCACAGCCCCAACTAATGCAGATGTAAGAGATGAGGCCGCCACCTCCTCTGAGAGTCCCGCTCCCCGAAAGAGCCTCCCCTCGTAGCTCTCCGCCTCATCAACCCTCCAACTCATTTCCAGCCTTGGCTGAAAACATCTTTTTTTCCCTGAGATGGTACCTTTTAATGTCTCTCTCCCCTGTGGCTGCATAGCTATGTGGAGCCCGGGGGACAGATGCTGCAGAAAGACGGGGCCTTGGGCAGCATGGCAGCGTGTGCCCAGGCGACACGCACCGGTGAGCGTGCCCGTACACCTGGCACACAGGCAGGAGGGGCTGGTTTCTAGCAGGCCTCCTCTTCTCCGTGTCCCTGTTTTAGAGCTCCAGCATCCCAAATGCCCTGATTAGGTCCCAGGCCGTCAATGATGCCCCAGCTGATTGAGGAGACAACGGGGAGGATGAGGCCTCCAGAAGAAGAGGCAGGTCTGATTTCGAGGCCACTCCTCAGGTGTCAGCATCAGAGAGACCCAGTTTCCAACAGTCGGCAGCCAAGAGGACGCTCTATAGAGGCATCACCATTTCAGGCTGGCCATCAAGGAGTTTCAAGGAAGTGAAGGAGCAGGGAGGGCAGGCAGTGCAGAGGGAGGCGGTGGCATTCAGGACATTCTCAACTGGCTGCACCACCACTAGGATTGCAATCAAAGAGATCCTGTCCACTCTCACATTTGGCCTGGTGGTTTTAATTTTTTTTTTAAGATTTATTTATTTATTCATGAGAGACACAGAGAAAAAGAAACAGAGACACAGGCAGAGGGAGAAGCAGGCTCCATGCAGGGAGCCCTATGCAGGACTCCATCCCAGATCCCGGGATCATACCCCAAGCCGAAGGCAGATGCTCAACCCCTGAGCCACCCAGGCATCCCTAATTTTTTTTTTTAAGATTTTATGTATTTATTCATGAGAGACACAGAAAGAGAGAGAGAGAGAGAGAGAGAATCAGAGACACAGGCAGAGGGAGAAGCAGGCTCCATGCAGGGAGCCCGATGTGGGAATTGATCCTGGGACTCCAGGATCATGCCCTGGGCCAAAGGCAGGTGCTAAACCGCTGAGCCACCCAGGGATCCCCTGTTTTGACATCTTTAAAAGTTTGCTGGTGGAGGAGAGACTGCCAGTCCCAGGACTGGCCAGCCCTTACTGACCACAGAGAATGTGTCTTTCGTATGCAAACCAGCCAGTCTCCCAGGGAGGCCACACCAGAACCATGTCCTTCTAAAACACAGAATCACACAGGGCCGGGTACCAGGCAACTGGAGGGCCATCCCCACAGCCCAAAGCCCACCAAAATTATTCCAACTATCCAATCCCACACTCACTCAAGGCACTTACCCTGCCTCATCCATTCCTTCCCACGGAAACCCCAATAAAGTCTCTGTGCCATGCTCTCCCTTCTTGACTCTTCTGTCTCCTGACACACCCTGGTCCTTCCCCAAGTGGCCTGCCATGGCTGGGCATGCCCTCTTCTCTCTGGAAATGTAGGTAATAAATTCTTCCGGAATGGCACTGGCCTGTGTTGTCACTCAGTCACCTCCATAAATTAAAATCCCACGGATACAAATAAGACACACAGAGCTACTTCTTCTGACACACAGAAACATAGATGTGAAGATGAGTAACAGGAAGTTAGGGGGCCCAAAAAGACTCAGGAAAGGAACAGAAGATATTCCCCTAAGCGCACTTATAAAGTGAGAGCGTATGGTTGAGGAACGTGTCTCTGAGACCCAGCAGGGGCAGCCTCACTGGTTTGGGAGAAGAAACACAAAGTAAGGGGGCTCACCAGCCAAGAGAGATGGGGAGGAGCCTCACGGCCCCACTTCCATCCCCGAGGTGCCAGGACAAAGCCCTCTCACCTCTGCCCAGAGGTTCCAGTCTCTGAAAGCAGAGGCCTCCCGTCCTCATAGAAAGTACCCTGACCCAGTGTCCACAGTCACCAAGGAGACTTGGGAAGGCCATGTCATTCCTCAGCATCAGAGCTGCCTCAACATGGGGCTGCACCGTCCCCACATCACTCTGCAGGGGGACGATGAGCACCAGAGTCAGGAGCCCAAGCACCCTGCCAGCTCTGGGGGGTGCCGCCTGTAAATAACCAGAGTGCGAACCTGTCTCTACAGGTTCCCTCGAATCCCATGGACTTGTAATCCTTCTGTGGCACTAGGTTCACAGGCAGGAAAAACTGCTTCACCCTGGCTCCTGTCTCTCCACGCAGAGAAAAAGAACAGGGGTTCCAGGCTGAGCAGGAAGTCTAGGGCTCCAGTGACCAGAGTCTCGTGCTGGTTATGCAACTGACCAGCGATGTGACCTTGGGCAAACCCCTTCACTGTGAGCCTCAGTCTCATCGTCTGTAAAAGGGGGAGAGGGAAGGGAACAGTGGGAGGAGGAAAGCTCAGTGATCTCTAAGTGTTAACAGTGCTGCTATAACAACGCACATGAGCTCTGGACCCAGGCCCAAGATAGAGACACCAGAGACTATATAATTCCATTTATGTCACATTGGAGAACTGGAAAATGAATCTATGAGACAGAAGAGTGGTGACCTGGGGCAGGTGACTGGGAGGAGAACAGCATGAGGAAACTTCCTGAAGGGACAGAAATGTTCTATATCTGACCTGAGCGTAAATGTGCACCAATCCGTACAGTTCAGATTTATGTAGTCTCGTGTACATAAATACCTCAAAAAAATGTTTTTAAGAAAGCAAAAAATACTGCTTCGTAGAAGGGGAAACATGATTACCAGGTTTCTGCTAGCCCGGGAGGTACCCCGTCACCTCCACCCTTATACCTCAGGGCCTGACCAGGAGCTCCAGGGACCTAGCCAGCCCCACCCTCAATCTGTGACCACACCACTTGGGACCCACTTGGGGATCTCAAAGCGGCACACAGAATGAAGGGCACGCTTGGTCTCCCCCCACTCCAACCCCTGGGCAGGGGCCAGAGCATCCCCCCAGCCCCCCAAGAGTGGTGGGCCCTAAAGCAATGCACACACCACGGAGGACAGGGACCCACATATAATTGGCCCTTACAGCTCTGGAGAGACTGGTGGGGCAGGGCTGGCCGCCACCTGCTTCTCAAGCTCCTGGGCCTCTTCCTGCCCAGGGCCCAGCTCCATGGCCCCAGAGCGCTGTTCCTTGCCCCTCTCCTGGGCAGCAGGTGGGCTTGAAGTCTCCTCCCTTGAGAGCAGGAAGGAAGCAATTGTGTGAAGGCCGGTGAGAAGGCAAGAGGCTCCAGGTGCACCCATCAGAGAATGGTGATGAGGGCAAGGAAATCAGCCCCAACCAAACATCCCTATCTCAGGCCTCACTCTCCCCGCCCGCCTCTTCCCTAGCTGTTCACACTGAAGAACCCCCCACCCACACCCCCCCACACGTCCATGTGGGCCAAACCAGGGTCATGGCACCCAAGGAGAAACTCTGCACATGACAGGTCATCAGCAGAAGCTGTTGACTGAACGTCGCTGCTGCTTGGCCGCCCCCAGTGACTCATTCCAACTGGATGTGCTCTCAAACCAGCTCTGACACCAGCACCTTCCTCTCACCAGGGGAGCACAAGAACTAGCAGATGCAAGCCAGGCTCTGGGCCAGGCTGGGGCACAGAGGTCCCCTCGGCTGGCCTAGGGAAGCCTAGGACTCTGCACTTCCCTCCCGCAGGGGCCCGGCACACCACGGGGCTCTACCTGGGTCTGCTAAAGGACTGGAAGTGGGATGACTACTGGGGTGGGGGGAGCACTGGCAGGTGGGGACTGGGACAAATGCCCCTGACAGCACAGCCCAGGGGGGAAGACAGTCTCTGTCCCAGCCCCTGGGCAGGAAGACAGCTGGGTCACATGATATGCTTCCTTGTTTAAGAGTTTCTAGGCTCCCTGAATCAGATGGTGCACCCAAAATTTAGCTGTAGATGAAGGACTAGAAAGAAGGTTTCCTCATCACCCGGCTCACGTGAGGCACTAAGTGGAAACCTGTGAACCCAGCCCAGCTCCTCCACCTCTCCGGGCACCCCCAACAGTCACTCTCAGTCCCTGCACACACAACTAGATGCCAGCTCCCCCTTACCTCTGAAGGGAACTGGGCAGGACCAGGCTGCCTGCAGAGTCCTCCCCAGGCTCCTCTGCCCGCTTCTGCTCCTGCTCAGACTGCCCCTCAGAGGCTTGAGGAGGCCCTTCTTCGGTGGCCTGGCTGTGAAGGGGACTCTGGAGCCACCTCCCAGGCAAAAGTGGAGGAGACAACCTGGTTGGACCAGCCAGAGCAGCAGGGTAAGACCCGCCATTTAGAGAGCAGGGAGAGAACAGAGAGAACTAGTATGTGGACCTAGGTCCCTTCCTCTTCCCAGGCAGGGCTGCAGCCCCGACCCTATACCCATGGGGAGCAAAGCAGCCAGCAAAGTGGGAAGGGGAAACTCCCCACTGAGCACTCCCTTTGCCTGGATCAGACTCAGCCCTCCTGGGCCCCTGTGCTGCACCTGCTTGGCCCAGGGGTGAGAGCTGGGCCCTCTCACGAGTGTGTCCACACCCAGTGCTCACCATCTCTGAGGTCAGGCAGGGGTGGAAGAACTGAGCAGAAAACAGGGAGAAAAAGAGAAGACAGACTCGAATGGTCAAACTACAGAAAATGCATGAAGCTGTAGTTTTCAGCTGGTAGGAACACTGATAGCTCTTCAGGGTCTGAAAAGCAGAACAACTGCCCCATTTCCTCTTCCCAGGGTGGTAGGAAGTACCTCTCATTGTAGCTCGGGCCTCAGAAGCTGGAAGGCCCTATCTCTCCCTCCCAGTCTTTCTGCTCTCCCTCCGTACCCCCCCCCCACACACACACACAGAGACATGGCTGCAGCCATTTCTGATGTAGCAGAGCATCAGCTCCAAGCTGCAGTACTGAGCCTCTGGCAGATTCCTCCAGCCCTGGCCCACAGTGGTGCACAAAGTCCCACCAAACATACCCGTATTCCTGTCTTGGTGCAGAATCAGAGGGCGCACTCATGGACACGCGTGCACGCGCGAGTACACACAGACTCTGCAAGGCCATCCAGTCGGCTCACCATCTGCCTTCAGGCAGGAGCACGCTGAGCCATGCACACCAAAGCCAGGAATTCTGCCCAAGTTCACACATCCCGAAGGTCCCTGAAGGGCGGCCTCCCACATACTGTACCTCTCTGAGCCTCTGGACTGCTTGTTCTGCAGCTCATCTTGGCTGGACTGGCTGCCATCCTTGTCTTCTCTCCCCAGCCTCTGGGCCTGTAGGCAAGCAGCAGTGCAAAGTGTATATTGGAGAGGTCTGCTTTTGGGTCCCTTAATCCTCCAACCAACTCTTGTGCCTAAGAGGAAGTACTGAGAGGTGGTTCTTGAGTAGGATGAGGACCACTTGGGACACAGAAGAGAAGGCCTATCGACTGTATAATGGAGCTTCCGGGGGCTTTGGCTAAGCCCCCAGGCTCGCAGCTGCTCCCAGGGCTGGCCTGGCTGACCTAGGGAGGATGAGCCAGATGCCACAACCACTGCATGCAGAGCCAGAAGCCAGAGGCTAAGGGAGAATGCACACAAAGAAGAAAATCCTGCCTCCTGCCACCAGAAGCCTTCACTGGCAGTTGCAAAGAAAAAGCTGAGACATCTGTGAATGCCTCAAATCCATAGAGGCCCCAGACCTTCAGTACCAGTGATGCAAAGGGATGCTGAAATTAAGTGGGCAAAAGTTACTGAGGCAGCAGCCCAGCACACTGAAGACAAAGGTCCCTGGAGAGATGAGGACAGTGAAATGAGAGACAGCTATATTTCAGACAGAAAGGGTATTGTTTGGGCACCCGAAGGGAGGAAGACAGTGCTCCACCACTCCACTCCAGCTCCCCCAAGCACCCGGGTCCCATCAGTAGTCAATGATGCCTGCTTCCCAGTGAGGGAATGATTACACCGTCTATCAGAAAAAAAAAAAAAATCTCATTGTGTGTGTGGGGGGTGGGGGGAGATCAGGGATAGGAGGGCAGAGGGACAGAGAATCTCAAGCTAACTCCACACCCAGCGTGCATCCCAACGTGGGGCTCCATCTCATGACTCTGAGAGTATGATCTGAGACAAAATCAAGTGTTGGACACTTAGCCAACTGAGCCACTCAGGTGTCCCCCCTAAAAATCTCATTTTAAAGCCTGGGTGTCTAGGCAAATCTAGCAAGCTGGTGAAAAAGAGGGCTAGCCTTGATAAGCTCAAGTATTTCCTGCAGGGGTGGGGTGGCAGGGGGATAGCAGTGTGGCTGGCCTGGACTCAAGCTCTCATTCTATCACTTCCTAGCTGGGAAGTCTGTCTCCTCCACTACAAAATAGGACAGTAAACTGCAGCTCACAGGGCTCATGGTGAGGATTAAATTAGATCATGTACGTGAAGCCCAACTCCTGGCCCAGAGAAGGCAGGCCACAAATGCCAGTTCCCCTGTTCTGCTCCTCCCCTCTCCCCAGCCTAAGGCACAAAAACCCAGCTCTGCCAGCGTCCGTCCCCATCCGAGGACCCACACTCCTTCTGTCATGTTCACAGGAGCCCCGTCTGTTCTGGGACACAAGGGTTAACAGCAGAGGCAGGGAAGGAGACAACGAACTCCATCTTCCCCAGTGGGGGGCCAGCCCGGCTGGCATACTGCAGTGTCCCCAGCCCTGTGCCCACAGCCTCCCACGCCGCTCCACTGGCAGCCAGAGCCCGAGCAGCTGGGGCTGACTCTCCCATCTGGATGGGCGAGGAAGGGCAGGGCCGACTCACAGCCAGCTCCCCCAAATTACATTAAAAATAGAAATGCTGCCTGTGAATACCTCCCGGTGCCTGCAGCAGAAGGCTCCCTGCCAGTGCTGCCACTCCTCATCGCATCAGCCTGGGCAGAGCCTGTACATAACAGCCCCCATGCCCCCCTCATTCCTCCCAGTGTTCAACTCACTACTGTCTTCCCCTACAAATCACACCAAGCTCAGCAGATACCTCCCTCTCTCACTTTCAAGGAAAAAAAAAATCACACAGGCCAATCTATATAACAAACTAAAATGTAAAATGGATAACAAAGCGGGGTGATCATAATAAAAATTGAGGGAGGGGGTCGAGCCCTGAGTTGGAAAGGATGAGAGGCACAGTCCACGTGTTTCCTTCTTGTTTCGTCTTCTATGTTCCTGCTGGAAACTGCACTGGCACACCAACTAGAGGGAAGGGGACACCCTGGGACCATGCCCAGACAGAGGTCCTTGGAGCAGAGTGGTAGTTCACCACCAGACTCTTCAGAATGGGCATACAGGGAGCACATTCGAGGCCTCTGGCCCAAGGCTGCTCGAGACCCCACCTTCCGATCCTTAACTCAGCTCCAGGGTTGTATTTTAACGACCTGGCCCTCAGCTAAATACATCATGGAACCTTCGTAAAGCAGAATGGGTAGGCAACTAATCCAAAGAGCAAGGTATGGAGCTGAAATAACTCACAAATAAGTCACGGGTCTATTCCCTAACTATTCTCTCATTTAAAGAGCATCTTGCCAAGTGGTGTTTGTGGCACGGTCCCAATTGTTGTAAGGAGAGGAAAGAGAAATAGAAAACAGACATAGATAACTGTGCACACTGAAAATTTCCTGGAATAGGCCATGAGGAATGTTCATGGCAACTGTTTCTCAACCCCTACCTGTGCGGGAAGTGGACATTGATCTTCCACATCATTTGAAATAACTTTATGGTCATTTTTGTCGTGTATTATAAAGCTCACACTTATAATTCATTATAATCATGACCTTGACTATGGTGATGGTTTGGAACATATATACGTATGGTAAAACTCATCAAATGATACACTTTAAATATGTCTGGTTTAAAATATGTCCACTGCATCTTGGTCAAGCTGCATAAATACTTTTTTTAAGTGAACAGAAACTAGTTTAGTTCAGTTTCAAACCCTAAGGGGCCAGAGGCTCTAGGAAATAGCCAGAGCCCACAGGAAAGACAACGGGGACCACACCTACACTTCCGTCTGACCCACAAAGGGCCGATTCTGGTTCTTCCAGCTCCACCTCCCCACTCAACCCGTCCATGTCCTGAAGACAGGAGAGGGCTGAGGACTCAGGCCCACGGGGCAGGAGAGGTGTCTGTACGGCCTGCCAGCCAGAGCGCCTGGCACTGCTCTGTGCCCCAGGACGCTGGGCACGAGCTACAGCTTCGGGCTTCCTCTGCTAGGGCTGTCCACATTCGAGCCAGGCCCCACTGTTCCTTTATACCAAGTGGCACAATTCCTCCCACCTCTTCAAAAAACGCTGCAGGCCTCATTGGGTTTTAGGTAGGACCTAGCAATTGGTCCTCCTTTTCTTTCTTTCTATTTTTTTTTTCTTAAGTAGGTTTCACACCCAACGTGGAGCCCAATGCAGGACTTGAACTCACAACCCTGAGCTCAAGACCTGAGCTGAGGTCAAGTGTTGGGCACCCAACCAATTTGGCCACCCCGGTGCCCCAGAAATCTTTTTTAAAGCCCTCATTGATGCTGACATTGGCCAGATTTTGGGGGCAGAGCAATGGAAATCTACCCCACCTGCCAACTCAGTAACTTCCCCACTTACTTACTGGGAAGGGTGCCTACAACCTCCCTGCTCCGGACCCCTCCTGACCAATCCCGCTGGCTCTGTTTGCACCTTTCCATCCCTCCAGTGCTACCAACAGGGGTGATCAAGGTCCAGCCTGAATAGCTTGTTTGTTCCAGCCAACAAATTTCCATTTCACCCAAACCAAATATTCCCTTAAATGTGCAGGGACCATGTGCCAGAATCTTCTCTTAAATAAGCCCACAGAGAAGGAAAAAAACCACCTTCTTGGCTTCAAGCTCCTTAAGGACAGGATCTGTGTGTGAGTCACCTTTGTACCGTTCTGGGTGCCAGACGTCCCACGTGCCCACACAGAGCTTATGTCTAATGGGGAGAGAAACCCAAGAACCATAAAACAAAAGCAGCAGCAATGAGGGGAGCCAAGGGACGGAACAATCCATTCTACTTGAAGGAGGTGACATCAGAGGTGGGCCTCCAAGACCAAGAAAGAGTTCGGACAAAAGAGGAAGCAGAACAGCAGGTGGAGCAGTGAAGGAGGTGGCTGGGGTGCCCCAGGAATGGTGAGTGGTGGGCACAGCCAGGGCATGGCCTGTGGGCTGAGGGTGAGCCTGCAGAGGCTGGATGGGCCAAGTTGGGAAATGCCTTGAAATCCACAGTGCTTTGCACATAAGCAAGTGGTCAGCCCTCAGTTGCTAAATAAACCAATAAACTGATGTATGTTGCAGGGACAGGAAGGATGGCTTAATTCAGAGCAGCCAAGAGCAGAAATGATTGGAAGCCCATCACAGGCACAGTCAGGGCCATACCTTATTGAATTAGAAGGGAGGGAGCTCCCAGAAATGTACCCAGGAATGGGCAGGGTTCAGCTGGGGGTTATCCACAACCCCAAGAGACTCACCTCCCAGCAGGCTCCATCCAGGACTGGGGAAAGCACATCAACATCCAGCAGTTGCTCCGATATCCGGCTGCGGAAACCAAAGTCCTAGAGACAGTGGAAGGGCAGGTCAACGCTGCACCTGTCCCAGCATCCACCGGGGCCTCTCCTCCACCCCACCCCACCTTCCAGACAGCTGCCTACTACAGGCCAGGCACTGTGCAAAACATTTCCATTTCTACTAGTTATTCTCGTCTTCAAAATAACACTGGGAGTAGTCTAGAAAGATATGTGCTACATATCATACAGCAAGTATAGTTAAAATGTTCACTGTAGACTCTAGGTGGTCAGGATGTATGGATTCACTTAAAAATCCTTTTAGGGATCCCTGGGTGGCGCAGCGGTTTGGCGCCTGCCTTTGGCCCAGGGCGCGATCCTGGAGACCCGGGATCGAATCCCACGTCAGGCTCCCGGTGCATGGAGCCTGCTTCTCCCTCTGCCTATGTCTCTGCCTCTCTCTCTCTCACTGTGTGCCTATCATAAAAAATAAAAAATAATAAAATAAAAAAAATTAAAAATCCTTTTAATTTTTCTGTATGTCTGAAATTTTTCATAATAAAACCATGGGGGAAACATAAGCCTGTGAGACTGATACTCTCGCAGCCTCTCACAGACTGGGAAGCAGGTCTGAGAGCACACGTAATTTGCCCAAGGTCATACAGCTGATTAGCAATGGGGCTGGTGGTCAGATGTACCCTGGGCTGACTTCAAAGCCCAAGCTCTTTGCATGATACATGCTGCAAAGCATGTCACTTTGCAGCTGTTTCGCCCTCCTAGTATCCAAACTGGGTACCCAAAAAGTGCCCAGAAGACCTGTGGGCAGCCTGGAAGCAAGGGATGGTGGGCTGTTCACAGCTTGCTTTCTCCAGACAATGGGGATTCATTAGCGGCGCTTCCTCTGCAGGCTTCTCTTTGGGGGCAGCCAGCAAGTGCCCACACAAGTGCCAGTTCCCTGCTGCCCTCTGACTGCCACAGGACCATGATCCTGCCCCCTCTGAGCCTAAGAGCCCTGCTGGGCTAAGTGAAGGATTGCTACCTGACAGCGTGCTAATAGGGATAGCTCTGTCATCAACCCTGATAAATGGCAGGATGCCCGGGCCAAGGTCTGGTCCTGCTGTCCATGGCTTCCTCCACCCACTCCCGTAGAGAAGAAAAATGCTGATGGGCACACTGCTTCATTGGCGACTCCCTTAGGAGGGACGGAGCCCTTGCACCAGAGAGGCCTATGACATGGCTATTCTTCACGATGGTTCTTGCCAACAATGACTTTTTGCCTTCCTGTCCTAGCTTGTGCATTTTCTTTTTTGGTGACATTTTCCTTTCAGTTTGAGTTCTACTCCACTTAACGCAGCTGCCATCTGCCTCCTAAGCCCATGGCTCAGTGAGGGGCCAGAGCACACAGCCTCCTAATTCCTCCGCACCCCCTCCTATCATTACTGTTCATCCCTGACCCTCCCGCTAATCCCTTCCCTTTGATCTGCCTCCTCCAGACAGATGGAGCATGGTTTCCAGAGGTGATGTTCTGCCAAAAAGCACCCTCAACTACTCCCCGTAGATACAGACCTGGCAAATGAAGCCAGGAGACAGCAGGCTGGGTGGAAGGCCTAGGACAAAGCAACCATCCATACATGTTGACATTCCAGGACACTGTCTTCTCTTTGTAAATGTAACCATGGCTTCCCTTCTAGCTACAGCCTGAGAACTGGTCCTTGCCATCATTTGGTGATCCCATAGACATACATGCATACACACACACACCACCCCAGTCTCTAACTTCCTAGATTCAAGTAATGCTTCTGCTACAGTCCAGAGGCTCTAGATCACGTATCTCCCAGATAGTCCATACTGCAGAAACGAAAAAGAGTAACAATCGCTTTTAGTTATGGGATGTTTCTAGTGTTTTACATTCTTCACCTCACCATCTTCTCACAATAAACCTATGAAGTACGCAGTGTTAGCTGACGGGCTGCAAACCCAAAGTTAGACAAGACCCAAAACCAAATTCTACCTTCCCCGCTTACAAGCTGTGTGACACCAGGCAAATGAACCACAGGGACTCACAAACTCACACTCTCCACCCCTCTCTGCTGCCCCCCACCTTGGACTCACCAGGCCCAGGAAGGGCTTGGGGTCAGAAGCAGCGGAGTCTGAAAGCTGCAGCTCCTTCATGTGCTCACTAATCTCCGACTCCTAGGGAAACAGACACACAGAGAAGTCAGTCAGGGCAGAGGACAGAGAGTTGCTATCACCACCCAGGGAATTCCATTCGGGCCATGGTGTCAACACAGGGCTGAGCCCTAACCAAAATCCACATCTGGAAAACCTGAAAGAGGGCTGTGGACCCTCCCATTCCTTCCAGACACATGCACCAGCCCCCACCTCGCCCAGGCTGAACAGCCCAGTTGAGGCCACACTGACTCAGGTCAACAGTATTTATACATGTAAGGAGAGCCAAGTGAAGTGAAGTGGAGGCAGCTAGGGAGTTGGCAGTAGGGAAGTTTCATGCTGTCCTTAAAAAGCAGAATGAGGGATGCCTGGGTGGCTCAGTGGTTGAGCATCTTTCTTTGACTCAGGTCATGATCCTGAGGTCCTGGTATCAAGTTCCATAACAGGCTCCCCACTGGGAGCCTGCTTCCCCCTCTGCTTATGTCTCTGCCTCTTTCCCCGTGTCTCTCAGGAATAAATAAATAAAATCTTTTTAAAAATTAAAATTAGGGCAGCCCGGGTGGCTTAGCAGTTTAGCGCCGCCTTCAGCCCAGGGCCTGATTCTGGAGCCTGCTTCTCCCTCTGCCTGTGTCTCTGCCTCTCTCTCTCTGTGTGTCTCTCATGAATATATAAATAAAGTATTTTTAAAAAATTAAAATTAAAAATAAATAAAAAACAGAATGAGAGTATCTTTTCCAGTAAGTGGCTTAAAACTCTTTAAATTAACTCTCTCACCATCTACCGGGAAGAGGAATAGGCCTAAGGGATGGAAAACTGAAAGTGCCAAAGGCCTTGGGAAGTACTTCTGTGCGTTTGGATCATTGGCCCAGTCTTGCCAAAGCTAGACTCCCATGCCATCCGTGAGAGGGGTCTGCTGGTAACCTAATTCACTAACTTACTACTGCTGGGGCTAAGAACTCCTGGTGGTGGTCCCCACCCCCTCAACATCCTCCTCTCTCTACAGGGAAACGAAATACAGACCACAGACCCCAGCAATCTTGACCAGCTGATGTCAAGAAGTAGGAGCCAGAGGCTAAAAGAGAAAGCAGGTACTACAGAAGAACATGAATGTCCCAGGAGGGTGCCAATGGAAAGGCAAATTTCTACTCTGAATTTCTAATGCTAGCAGGTTTGGAGTTTCATTCAGGCTTTGGCTGCCTGCTGGGTCTGGGCACATCTATCACCATGAAGGGTTCTGGGTGCTGCTGACAGCCCATAGCAGGACCTACAAATGAAGGTGTGGGGACAGAGATCTGCACAGGGTTTGAAAGAGCAGCAGAGTGAGGAAGCCGCAACTCCCCAGGGCACAGGGAGACTTACCTGGCTCGCCTGTGATTGGCTCTCTTTCCAAACAGAAGCCTCCTCCTTGGGCTCCTCTGCCTCTCTGTTCCTGGAACCTTCCTCTCCTGCATCCACTGGGTTCTCTGGTACCTCCTTTTTGTTGGCTTTGGCAGGCTGACCACCCCCAGGGTCCACCCCACTCCTGGACATCCCAGGATCACTCTTCTCATCCTTTTCTTTTTCCAGATGCCAAGCACTCGCCCCTCTTCCCTGCTGCCCTGTGCCATCACTGCTGCTCAGACTGTTGTCTGCACCCTGGCTGAAGAGCTTGCCGGGAGTGGGGGGCCTGGCAGCATCTGAATCCAGAGAAGTGTCCTTCTTCTCCTCTGGTTGGCTTGTTCTTGGAGACTCCTAGACAGCAGCAGACCATGTCAGACAAGGAGATGTCAAGAATTAATAAAATAATTTCAGAGACTTGCAACAAGATGGAACGGTCATTCCTTGACTCGTTTGGGCCAGCGCTCCAGTTCTGACACCAATGGTTATCAAATACCCTAAGAGCCATTTAAAACACAGATTCCTCGTTCCACTCCACATCTGCTGCATCTAAATGTCTATGGTGACTTAAATACATCCAACCGCCCCATTCACTGACAGGTGTGGAAACCAGTGCGCTGAACTCCATCACCACCACCATGTTCTCAAGTAATAAATGTCTCATTCCAGCCCTGGTAACCAATTCATAAGATTGCAGACTTGGAAACCAGTATTTATTTTTTTAGAAAGTCAGTAGGTATTTACAATGATGATGACCATGGAAAATCACATAAGAGAAAAGTACTAAAGTCTAAAATTTTATTTCCTTTTTTTTTCATTTTTAGAAGGCAGTGAGGAAAAAAACAGGAGAATGCCCTTCATCAGTGGTGATGAGGGTGGCTCTCTCCCTAGGGCCTCCCCTGTACACATGCCCCTGGAGCACTGTGACCTGGATGCTCTGAAGCAGAAGCCAAGACAAGACTTATTGGGGGAAATGGTTCTGAAGGATAAAGAGGTCAGGAGGCCTTCAGAACACAGGTCTGACCTGTGGTGGGGGAGTGGGGAAAGGGCAGCTGAAACAGGCAGGGCCTCAGGCCACTGCACCGTTCTGAGGAAGTCTTGGCCTGCACCGCAGGGTCCCATGTCTGGCAGAAATGATCCTGCTCCAGGGCCTGTTGTTCTCGGTCGACAGCGTGGCCTTGGCATGAGCCAGGGTGGATCAAAGGTGCCACAGCTGGAGGCTACTGTCACTAAGGTCCCCTGGGTAGGGTCTCTCAAAAGGAGCACCCTCTCCAGCTGCTACATCCTGCTTCTTATGCTGAAACCTTACTTTAAAGACTAGGAAAAACCTTTAAAGCCAGCCAAGGTAGAAAAAAGAAATCCCTTCCTTGAAATCCAGCTAGAGCTCTATCCGGGCTAAGAGAAGCCTTCCTCCCAGAAAACATCACTTGGGCTGCCAGCATGAATGGCTTCTGAGCAGAGATTTTTTTGACACTTCCCGGGTTCCAGATCCTGGAGACTCATGCAAGGAGCATGGTGACTAGAGTCCAGAGGCCACTGGAGAACATGGCATTCATAAGTACTGCTAAAACCAAGACATAACCATCCGCCTGCAGGTCTGGAAGCCTACTAACAAGCCAACCCAAACTTTCCAAGGATGGTGAAGAGAGGCAGGAGAGTAGAGCAGTTCAGAGCTTAGCTTCAGAGATACACTACTTGGGTTCAGATCCTGGCCCCACGTACAGGGGCCAATTATTTAACTGAAATCAATTAAATAAATCTGAAACCAATTATTTAACTTCTGTGTGCCTTAGTTTCTTCCTCTAAAATATGGGGACACAGGAGGGCCTACCTCACTGGGTGTGGGGGTAGAGTAAATGAGTTAACACTCACTACGTGAGCTAAAGAAGTGAGATCAGTGCCTGGTGGACCATTTGCGTCCCATAATGTTAACTAACGTTTTATTGTGAAATGCACATGGTCGTTCACTGCGTGCCTTCTATGTGCCAAGCACTGCCCTGGGGACCCATATATGAACTAGACATAGATCCTGCCCTCAAGGAACTCAGTTGAATCTGAGACAAGAGAAATGTCCCAGGTAGCCTTGGTCATGAGCCTTTGCTGCCCAAAGCAGAGGGCACTGGACACAGTGGTGGTACATACTGTCCTCAGCCCCAGGCCTATCCCAGGAGAAAAGCAGAAGGTGAAAGAGAGAACGGGTGGCTTCCCTCATTCCTTGGCAGCACAAAGGCAGAGTACCCTCCAGTGCCGGCCATCCTCTCAACATCCGTACCCTGGAGCGAGGGAGAAATCCACTGTGACCATTGGGCTAACAGAAAGGGGGAGATGAGTCCCTCTTCTTCAAGAGCAGCATGAGCAAGGTGAGACCAGGCCTGCTCTTCTCAATCCCTGCAACAGTGCCCAGCACACAGCAGGAGCTCAGTACCCAGTCTGCGGGGCTCCACAGACCCTGGGCGGGTGGGAGTCTCTCGGGGTGATAGAGGGGCATCTGGCCAGCCACACTCCCTCATGCGGCAAGCAGAGCCAATCCACTCTGGCCCTGTTCATCTCATGAAAAGAGCAACAGAGCTTGGGTTAGGAGACAGAGGAGGGTCAGACCACAGACAGCACCATGGCCTTCCACATAAAGTCCACATCTCCTCACATGGCCCAGAGCCTTTCCTGCCCAGCCCTGCCTGCCTCTCAAGGATTGTGGGCAGCCACACCCCATATGCATCCTGCAGGTTATGGATGAACATTGTGCCATTTCGCTACCTGGGCATGCACGATCCTTTTTTTCCCTTAAGGTTGATTATTTCACTTCATTTAGCAAACGATCACACTCTGAGCCCCACCAAACTGCTCCTCCAGCCTTACTCGAGGGTCTGCCTCAGGAAGAAGCTCAGAGGGCAACCAGGAAGGCCCAGGTTCCCCAGGCAGCCTCCTCCTCTACCAACACACACTGCACAGCACAGAACAAAATATAGCTTGCATCCTCAGGCACCCTTCCCAAGGTGGTTGCGGGGGGACCCTCCAGTGTTCAAGAGCTGCCTGCCGAGGCCACTCCACACAGACTCCTCACCGCTCCTGAGATGCCATGAGCATCACATGCACACATACATGCATGCACCCACGCAAGTTGGCGATCTACCCTGACAAACCCCTACTGGCCCTCACAGTATCACATCTTCCAGGAAGCCCTCCTGGATCCCCGGGACAGCTGTCCTGAGATGAGCCTTCCCGACCCGTCACAACAACTACTATAACATCACTGCTGATTTCCTGTCTGTTTCCCTCACCAGATCAGCTCCCTGCCATCCTCAGTGTCTAATTTCTGACACATAATAAGTGCCCAGCAAATAAATACTTTTTGATTGATTTTTTTAAGTGAGTGTATCATGCAGATATAGGAGCTCCTGCTCTGTAAAATGGAGATGAACTATTTATTTCACGAGGGTTACACAGAGATTAGACTCCATTTGTCACAGGGCTTATTAAATGGAAAATGCTAAACAAATGTTAACTATTAATATTCAAGATGAGGGAAAAACAAGTAACCTGTCAAAAATCAGAGGACATCAGACATAGGAAGAGACTCCCATTCTTCTTCATGACAAAATGTAGTCAGGCTACAAGAATGTCAGGCCGAGTCTGTGCGATCCTCAAGCTTAAATTCTTCAAAAGAAGATTCTCCCATTATGGAGCTTGTCCTATTCTATCTACCTAAATATTAAGATATGAGAACATAGCTAATATGAAAATAAAGGAGCTTGCATTCTCCGAGCCTCTGTCAACCAAGTGCAACAACTTGACGGCCAGACGTACATCTTGCAGGTCAGGATAGCAGAGAGAGACTAGACATTTGTCCCAGATTACCCACATGGCATGAATGAGAGTATGGGAAAACCCCCTCCATGGCCCTCTCCCTGCACTTGGCCCTGCTCCTCCTCACAGTGTGAGCTGAGGCCTCCCCAGGATGTACACTCCAGGCCCTCGAGTATTGTCTCCTGCATCGGTGTTCTGGGAGGCACATGGGTCAGGGCGGGGGCTGTGCCCTCGGCACCACTTTGCCCTCCGCTCCTCCGTGCTCAGACTCCTGTCTCCTCCTGTCCGGGCCCCAGACCCCTAAGTATCTGGAGGCAAGTATCTGTTCAAAATCAACCTTGTCATCTGCACAAGGAAAGCGATGCTGGAGAGTCCCTTTAAGAGCATGTCATGAATATTTAATACACACCCCAAAAGCTATGTGAGGTCTCCAGTGCTGCAGCTCCCTCCTCCCAGAGCACAAAGGCTGGGGCTTCTATACTCCACGTGGCTTGGGAGGGAGAGCGTGGAGGACAGGGATGCTAAAGCCCCCAAGCCAACCGTGGGTCAGGTTATTCACCGTGTCTCATTCCCACCCAGCTGGTCTCAATTCTTTGCACTGCCCCGCACCCTATGTTGTTAGCATTTCCCAATCACACTGACATCATCCTGTGATGTCTAACCCCAGCTCCCTCCATCTCCCTTCATCCAGTGATGGGTTCTTGCCAGCGCCACCAGGTCACACAGTGCCTGCTCACCCACCCTGCTGCCTCCCCTCCTCACTCACACCTACTCTCAGCGTCTGGTCCATGAACCTATCCCCTGTGATTCCGTAATACACTAGAATTGGGTTTACACTGAAGGCAGGAGAGGAGGGGGAAGGAGAGAGAGGAGAGGCATTTCTGCCATCCTACTGCCCTCTCATGGAATCATGAGCAAAGTGACTGTGGACAGCACAGAGAAAGGGTAGAACAAACCAAGGCAGGAGACGTCCATCTAGGGCTACCTAGGATGCCCGGAAGTGGGAAGAAATGGGTAGCTCAGAGGATCCAAGGTCTATAAACAGGGACAGGAGCCATTTTCAGAGGTGTGGTCCAAGCAGCGGCAGCTGTGTCTATCCTAAAACTGCTGTTCATCCCCAACACTGACCTTCCCCACCAGGGAAAGCCCTAGTTCCTACCGGGGGTTAGAACACAGGAACCCAACACTCCATGTGACAGAAAGAATGAGATCTACTGGGATGCTAGAGACATGGGTGGGAGGTGTATTTAACACCTCCCACTCTAGACATTTCCCCCCATCACACTGGGTTGTCTATTTATACTAAAGAGGTTATAAAAAAAATGTTTAAAAGCTCCCACTCCCCCCAAAGAAGCACATAATCCTCAGAATGGAAGCTTTTGGAAATCCAGGACAGGTCAAAGAAGTTCCCTTTTTTGTTGACATCTGTAATCCATTATGAAGTAAAAATTAACTCAGAGTCAGAGTGCATTATGATTGATCCACGGTGGGATCTTCAACCCCCAAGCTGACAGCAGGGGATAAGTATACACCCTACCCAGGACCTGGAACAGCACAACACAACCCTCAGGGACGCCCCCTTGTCCCAGAAGGGCTCACTCTCCTTCATTCTCTCAACTGCTCAGCAAAACACACCTCATCCTTCCTAGGCTCCAGGCAGTGGCGGGTACAGAACATACACACATGAATAGGGCCGGATCTCTATTCTTAGTTTGTTCCCACTTTCTCCTTTCTCTGAGAGCCAGGTAAGTCCTCCTGATGCCCATTCTTGCTTATGGTCATCCCTCTAGGCTCCAAACCCGAGCTGCTGATCACATTGGCAGGATAAGGTCTTAATGGCAGATGAGAAGAAACAGAGTTGTCATTTCAGGGACCCAAGCACACTGAAGGCTTTGCAGACAGTGCAAATAGACCAGGCCCTGCTCACAAGGAACAGTTTCAAAGTAGACACAGATCAGGTTGATGATAAAAATGGGGGATTCAGGAAAACAGTGTCACATTTCGCAGAAAGTATTAAAGTCACAACCAAAGCATATCTGATCATGCACCACCAAAAATGTGGACAGTTTCTGGGGTAATGGACGAAGTACAACAGTAAAACTTAGTCTGCCCACTGGTGAGAGCTGGACCACCTACAACTCAGGGGCTGTGTCGGCCAGGATCTGTGACCCCCGCCCGATGAGACATTTAACCCTGGCTCTTGGGGTGAGCAGAAGACCAAGAAGAGTCAAGAAACAACACGCGGGGGATCCCTGGGTGGTGCAGCGGTTTAGCGCCTGCCTTTGGCCCAGGGCACGATCCTGGAAACCCTGGATCAAATCCCACGTCGGGCTCCCGGTGCATGGAGCCTGCTTCTCCCTCTGCCTATGTCTCTGTCTCTCTCTCTCTCTACCTGTGTGACTATCATAAATAAATAAAAGCTTAAAAAAATTCTCTAAAAAAAAAAAAAAAGAAAAGAAAAGAAACAACACACGGATCATAAGAGATAAGAACACAGGAAGAGATAATAAGGAAACAAACTTAAATCTATGATACAGGAACTAAAGTTTTACTGGTCAGCTTCAAGATCATTCTAATAAAACATAAGTGACTGGTTTCAGTTCAAAGTGTTTCTTTTTTTTTTTTTTTAAAGATTTTATTTATTTATCCATGAGAGACAGACAGAGAGAGAGAGAGAGAGAGGCAGAGACACACAGGTAGGGGGAAAAGCAGGCTCCATGCAGGGAGCCCGATGTGGGACTCGATCCCGGGACTCCAGGATCATGCCCCGGGCCGAAGGCAGGCATCAAACCGCTGAGCCACCCAGGCGTCCCAGTTCGAAGAGTTTCAAGTGTGTGAAAGAATTTTATATTCGAATAGACTTATGGAAAGTTTAATTCAGCTTGCAATCAGTATTTAAAAGTTTGTGGAAATCTGAGTGGCTGATGTCATGATTCACTAGTGTATGAATACCATGGGAATATTGAGAGAAATCTTAATTGCTAGAAACTAATAAACTGGACGTTAGACAAAGGACACACTGTAAGGGAATGTTCCTTTTCAAGTAGAAAGCCACACTGGGGGTTTGTAGGTATTACAACACCACGATGAGTTCTGGATTTTGTTTGTTTTAAGAACATTCTGGTGGTGATGAAGGACAGACGGGGCGGGGGGGCGGGGGGAGACAGAGATTAGAAGTGACAGGACTACCGTGGGGAGAGTCTGGAAGCTATTCCCATCCACAGTCTGCACTTCCCAGGCCCTGCGCCTTTGCTCAAGCTGTTCACTTACTTAAAATATCCCTCACACCCCCATGCCTAAAACTTACCTACTCTTTAAGAGCCAGGTCAAATGTCATCTCTTTTGAGTTTTTCCTGATCTCCAGGCAAGTAATTTCCTCCCGCTCAGAGCTCCCCTAGGCCAGGCACCTGTGCCAGAGTCTTTGCACAAACTGCCCTGCTTTACAGTTTCCTAGGGAGTCATTTACTCCACACTGAGCACTCACCAAACACCAAGTACCTGGTGTCTCTCTCCAGCTGTAAACTCCGTGAGGCCAGCCTAAAGCCATCTTACCAAAATCTGTATCTCCACACGTGGCCCACCATTCGACAACTGGTAAGACTCTCGGTGTCACACCTCAGTTAAAAACCTCTGATGGCTCCCAGTGCCTGGGTACCCCTAATGCAGACTCCTCAGCTGGCACCAAGGGCGTCCGGGATCCAGCCCAAGCTACCTCCACAGACCGTCCCCCACTCATCTCCCACACGTGCTCTACGCGCCAGCCAAGGGGGATGCCGTCACCTTCCCCAAACTTACTCTGCACCCTCTGCCTCTGCCTGTGCAGGGCCCCGCGTATGAGCCTCTCTCCCCCCACTCACCTCTGCCCGGCCAGTCCTGCCCACCGTCCTTCCTGGGTCCCCTCACATGGCAGTTTCTCAACAGAACCCTGCCTGGTTGATCTGCATAGCTTGGAGGCCCCATATTCTCTCTGCTGCGGCGCTCCAGCTCACCTCCCTCACAGCCTCACTGCATTCTATTCTGTTTTCCAGGAAGGTAAGCCTCTCTTCTGTGAGGCCACAAACCCTCAGGAGGCAGTAATCACATCTCACTCAGGCTTGCATGACCTAGAGCTAAACGCCTCACATAGAAACGTCCAATTACTGGTGGCCGTCTGGCAGATGAGCAGATGAACAGATTCCTAGTCCTCTTTTGTGTTTCCCCAAACCCCAGAAATCCCATCTAGACAGCACTGGGGCAAGACAGTTCTCTTCCCAAATCTGCATCCCACAAGGAGAAAAGCTTAAAAAGGAAGGATAGAGCAGGATAGAGGCATATGCTCTTACCTCATACTCAAAGTCAGCCCCCAGTGCCCCAATGTCCAGGTGTAGGTTCTTAAGAAGTTCGCTTGAACTGCGGACACTCTGAAAACAAACATGATTACAGGTACTCAGCCCAAGAGGGCAAGAAGCTCCCTCCTGGTTATGCTTTCTGGGACAGACCTAGAAAGCACATAGATTAGGCAAGAAATGAAGCTGTGGGCTAGAAAACCATTCTACTCATTTTTAAAGCAGCACAGAGTTTGGCCAAAAGGAGGCAACAACCCAAGTGTCCATCTACAGACGAATAGCTAAATAAAATGCGATATATTCATATAATGGATTATTCAGCCATACATATATAACATGATGATCCCGGAAAACATGCTATGTAAAAGAAGGTACACGTAAAATGGCAAATATTGTATGATTCCACTTATATGAAATATCCAGAATAGGCATATTCAAAGACAGAACATAGAATACAAGAGACCAGAGACTGGGGAGAGGGGTGACTGGGGGAGTTACTGTTTAATGGGTACAGAATTTCTATTCGGGATTACAAGCAAGTTCTGGAGACCGATAGTGGTGATGACTGTACAACACTGTAAAGTTAATAAGGTCACCAAATTGCATGCTTAAAAGTAGTTAAAATGGTAGCTTGCACATTATATATATTTGGCCACAATAAAATAATTCTCTTTAAATAACACAAAGGGTTTCCAGGCCAGAAAGAGGATTCATCATTACCTGATTGTCACTCTCTGCCTCATCCTCCTCATTGGTCTCCTCCCCTAAAGCCAAGAGGCTGAGAGCATTCTTGTCCTCATTGATGGAACCCAAGAGACCCTTTAAATAAGCAGAAGTCTTGAGACCCTGTGAAGGCTCCAAAGTAGAGAAGGAAAGTCAAGGGACGTGCTAGAAAGACCTACAGAATGCTTTCCCCACTCTCTTTGGATGTCTCCCAGTGCAAGTCTCCCACAACCAAGAAGCTGACCCCAACAACCCCAGCTCACAGCGATCCCTCCCTTCCTGACTCTGCCCCAGTTGCAAGGACTGGGAAATTAATACTGCAGCACCCCTCTCCCCCAGCGTGGGTCTAACCTAACCTCCACAGCCAAGAGTCCACATTTGCACCACACAAGTGTGATTTGCTTTCCCAACTTCCCAATTAGCCTATGAACTCTGAGGACTCGGCCCATGGCCTCTCTTTCTTATCTATGGGCCTCAGTTCCTAGCATGGCACAGTCTCTGTAGACCCCATAGTAACTAAATACACGGACCGCAAGAGAAACCATTTACCAGTGTGACTTCTCCGAGCTGACCAGACTCCACTGAGCTCTCCAGGTTCACATTTTGAGATCCTCGAAGAGCAGAGGCCGGGACATCCACAAGGCCTCGTAAGGGAGCCAGGCCCCCAGGAGGGACGTGGACTGCAGCTAATGAGGAGCCCAGGACCTGGGCAACACAAAACATCTTGTTACAAACCCAAGAAACCACATGGCTCTCAGAGTGCCAGAGACAGATATAAAAATAAAACATCTAAATCCTGCCCGCTCAAATTTAAACCACCTCCGTTCGGAGGCTGCTAATGAAACACAACATCCAGAAATTACCATTGTGCCAACTGTGTGAGAAATCACAGGCTGGCTTGCTGATTCTCCTAACTCCGCTGCTAGTGCACAGCCAACGGTTCCCTCACATCTGGCAGATGCTGCAGAGGGTTCTGCTCCCCTTTCAGAAGCCACATAGGAAGTAGGGGGGCAGAGGGAGGGCAGAGACAAAAGCCTCATCTACCAGAATGAGAAGTCTCAATAGATGAAGTTAAAACTGATGAACCAAGAAAAAGCAGTCTAAGCATATTATTTACAAATATGGAAGCACACCAGAAGAAAGCAGTTGCCTCTGGGGAGGGGTACACACACCAGAGACCTTCTGTATTTCATTATACGCCCTTTGGTACTATTTGACTTTGTTCAATATTGGCATGTACTACGTTAATCAAAATACATATCAACTCTGAAAAAAGTACATGGGGGTGCCTGGGTAGATCGGTTAAGTGTTGGCTTATGTCATGATCTCAGGATCCTCAGATCAAGCCCCTTGTCCAGCTCTATGCTCAGTGGGGACCCTGCTTCTCCTTCTCCCTCAGCCCCTCTCCCCGGCTCATGCTCTCTCTCTCTCTCCCTCTCTCAAATAAATACATAAGATCTTTAAAAAAAAAAAAATACATGAACAACAAAAGAACTCTCTTTCCCTTCCTCTGCTGACAAGAAAGGTAGCTGAATGGAGCCTTGCCCAGAGGACTGACCAGCTTCCCTGTTCTGTTCTCACGCTGGCCAGATGAAGGCTGCAGGCTAGGGAGCACGGGAAAAGAAATCAGGCTGGGAGTCAGAATTTGTGAGACTCTTGCTCATTCACAGACACCCTGGATTCTCAGTTTACTCCAAGACGGAGATGATGGGCGCCTTGCCACTTCAGAAAGCTTGTTGGGAAGTTCTAAAGAGACAATAAACGTGAGGAGTCCAGGGCTACAACAGGAGGGATCCAGGGCTAGTGACATGGAGCGGCCGTTAGAGAGATTTACATTCCTATGGTCTGGGCCGAGCAGCAGGGACAAGGAAAATATTCTGGAGACAATTTACAATAAACTCTTTAAAATTCATTCCTCAAACTTAAAATGTATAAAATAACACGAAACCATTCCTCTCCAATCCCAAGGGGACTGGAGAGAGAATAGGGGACCCGGAGGAAGTGGGGCTGAGGACGTCCAGGAAGCCCACCGTCTGTCTCATCTACAGCCTGGGCTAAAGAGCCCAAACCACTGGGTGTTTTTTAAGATTTTATTTATTTATTCATGAGAGACACACAGAGAGAGAGGCAGAGACATAGGCAAAGGGAGAAGCAGGCTCCCTGTGAGGAGCCTAATGCAGGACTCTATCCCAAGACCCCGGGATCACAACCTGAGCCAAAAGCAGACACTCAGCCACTGAGCCACTCAGGCATCCCTATTGGGCAGATTCTGACCAGCAGGAGCAGGTAAGAGCAGGAAGGCAGAAAGGAGCAGGTAACCATCAGGGCTGAGCCTCTTCCGTGCCATCTCTCATTCCGCTCTCACAACGCCAGGCCACAGTCTCTACTGATGGAGATGGTGGAGATCAAGACCACAGCCCACAGTCACAGGGCCGCTAAGGGCAGGGGCACAGATATGGGACTGGACCCCAGGGCGATCTCAAAGCCAATATTTTATGCCACCTCTTGGTACCTTACAGCTTCTTTAAGGTAAACTAGGGGTATAATGGGAACAAATGGTCTGCTCCTCCTGACTTCAGCCCTCCCAACCAGGCCCAGCCTATGGGCAACTGAAACTCCTCCCACACTGTATTTATGGAAAAGTATGGACTCCTGATATGGCTAATTTGCAGATGTGCTAGGGCCTGGAGGGAGGGAGGGAGGCAGACATGCTGGGGGCCCTGCTCTCCCAGACCTTTACCAAATCAGCGGTCGGCAGGGAAATGACACATTCCCGGCTCCTAGCTGATCATCTTCTCTGGCTGGCCATTAATTCTGACTACAGGCTGTGCGTAGCCTTGTCCTTCCAAGGGGATAAACTTGCTGCCACTGGGCTAATTAAAACTTTCAGGATCATTGGCAGCTTATCCGATATTTATCATGCTATAGTAGTTATTAAAGCCAACAGAGAACCAGGACACGCCAGCAATTAGAAACCAGAGGAACAGCTGGGTAAAGACACAGCTGGGCGACAGCAAAAGAATAGCTAGGGAAATTCAGATTGACCCCTGTGGTCTCTGATCCAACTTGACTTCTTGTGAATGAATTGATGTGACTCTTTATAAGGGACAAAGAGGATCAGAATGACAAGGAAAGCACGATCTGCTGGCAAATCCCCATAGCAGAGGAAGTGAAGGTACAAACAAGCCTGACACAGTTTGGTCATGTGGCTTCTGGGAACCCCAGGAAGCAAGGAGCAGAAGTAGCTCACTGGATGGTAGAGAGATTCTGGGCTTCAGCCCCCCAGTGACCGTATTAGCTTTCCCCTTCTGTGTGATTCCAAGAAGGGGCTAAATTCAGAGCTCGTGAGGAGTGTGTCTACTTGGGAAGCCTCTGTCATTGGCTGATGGGAAAGGCTTCCCAAATCCTAGGAGAGTACCCAGATCCTGCAGGAGCACCAGGACAGTACCACCTTGCTCACCCTCAAAACTGACCATCTGCAAAGCCTGTGACCCACCACCCCCACCCCACTCTTGTGAACTAAGTCAGCTCCAGGGAAGGGAAGGCTAGATACCCTCACCTTGCAGGTGACAGTCACAAGAAACACAAAATACAGGTCAGCCCACAAGATGGCCAGCCTGGGTAGGTAAGGGATCAGCGGTTACCAGGGGAGAGCAAATAACAGGAAAGCAGGCCTGAGGGCTGAGTGAAGACCTCAGCTCACCCTGCTCCCTCCCTGCCAAGTCCAGTGAGGCCTGCAGGCCATACTCGCTAGGAAGCCTACCTGGTTGAGAAGCTGCAGCATGCCTGGCTCTGGAGCAAGCCCTCTGCTGGAACTCAGCTCGACTAGCCTCTGCCTGAAGGGACTGCTGCTTGGCTGGAAACAGGCTTGCTGAGAGGCCTCCTGCCCAGCAGAGGCAAGAGCCATCTCCTGAGGATGCTCCAGCATGTCCAGCCCCCACGCCAGAAACCTGGAGTCCCTCTCCATGGCTCTGACAGCCTCGTGCTCACCCTCACTAGACATCCTGGAAGATTCGGCCGCCATGCAACAGACCCTGTCGGCGATATCTTTACATGGTGTTTCCTGCATGCTCTCGGACAGCCCCAGGCCCTCCAGCCGCCTGGAGATCTTGGCCATCTGCAGGATGTGCCCGTAGAACCTCTTGCCCTCAGAGGAGTCTTCACTCTCGGACTGCTCATCAGCAGAGTTCTGCATGGGGAACAACTGGAGGCCTAGGAAGGGGCTGGAGCGCTGATCTCTGCACCTGGCACCTGACTCAGCCACGCCCTGCTCGGAGCCCTGAGAGTTCTGAAGGTCCCAAGGGAAGTTGTTCACCTCACCCAGGATCTGAGAGCCACGGTGGGAAGACAGACTGTAGCTCTCTAAGTCGGGCTCAGACCCACTAGGCTTCCTGTCTCCTTCAGAGGGCTCTAGAGACCCCCAGGGGCGTCTCTGCTCACTGGCAGGGAAGTCTCCAGGGGCACTCCCTGAAGGGGCATTCTGGGCTGGCTCTAATGCCAGCATATCCGGCGGTCTTAGGAAGCACTCCTGAGGCGGATCCTTAGCTGAGGCCCTGGGAGCCTCAGGGTCACTGGGTCCTGTCTCCTTGCAGCTCCCAGGGGGGACCTTGTTGACAAGCTTGGAGACCTGTCCCATCCACAGTCCTGGAGACTCTTTCCTCCTCCTCCCCCTGCCCACACTCCCACCTTCCCCAGAAACGCCCTGACAGCTCTGATCTTCAGCTGGGCCGCTATCTAACAAGAGCAGCTGGCTCTTCCTGGGAGTTGGTATATGGTCAGAGGAACACGAGGACCGGGAGGGGTTCTCCTTGTGGGATGAGGAGGGGAGGGGGCTCTGGCTCTTGTCTCCCTTGGGGCCAGTGGAGCCCCGTTTGGCCACATGGTGGCCATGCTGCTCCCCTTCTAGCTGTAAGCCCCTGATGGTTTCAGAAAGCTTTGAGTGGACAGAAGCCTGGCCTTCCAACATCTCCTGCCCATTCTGGAGGGGCCTGGTGTTCTCAGGGCCCAGCGTGCTAGGCTTCTGCTGTCTGGTCCTCAGCTCCAGCTCTTCTATTTCAGGGTCTGAAAACCCCAGGTAGATTTTCTCTGTTGGCTTCTGGGGTTTCCCCAGACCCTGCAGATCACACAATTCTGTCCTGCACTGGGCCAGGGCATTGCCTAAGGTTTTCTCCACGTCAGCAAAGATATGGTGGTTTTGAGAAGCTTGGCCTTTGGAGAGTGGCTGTAGCTTGCTGGGCAGGGTGCCCATGAGAGGCCAGGCGGTGTCACCCAGCTTGCAGGGGCTCTCCCCTTTCTTAAAGGAGCCCTCGCTTCTAGCCTGCATCTCTTGGTCTAGGTCCAGATCAGCAAGCCCAGGTGCTAGGAGAAGGGATGGGCGGCAGAGAAAGGAGGAAGAATGCAGAAGTCCCTGTTCAGGCTGTGTTTCCTAGACAGGTATATAAACATGCAGAGAAAACTAAGCCAAAGCACTTCTAATTTATACTTGCTACCTCAGCCCTTGGCAAGCCCTTAACAGAAACCCACCCTCCCTTTAAAGTAAAACACAAACCAAGAGGGGAAAACAAAAAAAGCTAAAAAACTCCCTTGGGCTTAATTGTTTGTGGGCCCTAGTTTCCTTATCTTTAAAGAGGAGGCTAGACTTGATCAAGGGCTTACCCCCCTGCTTCATGGAACCCTCAGGTCAGTTCCACATGGGACCCCAGAGGCCACTGTAGTGTACATGTAGTGGGAAAAAGGGTACCACAGAGACCTACACCCTGAGGCTGACTTTTCCTTGATATGCTAGACATCCACGGAGGAACTAATTGGCAGACAGGGCTTCACTACTAACAAAGATCTGAATCACCAACCAGGTCATCCCTAAGATATCATCAGGCTCTCAGTTCTGTGATTGGCTAATCTTATAAAATCCAAAGTCTTACCAAAGATCACCAGAAACTAAGAAGGGAGAGAAGGGAAACATGGCCAGTGAGCTGAGCTCTGGGAATTCCATCTAGGTCTTCTAGCAAAAACGTGAAATGGTATTGCTCAAGAGAGGTCCACACAGTCAGAGGATATTGGGTCTAGAAAAAACCCTAAAAGATAAACCTCAGCCTGCAAACATTCACGCTAAGTTCCAGCTGGTCTATGCATGCACACCTCCAGAGATTCCAAGCCACCTGAGCCCAGGTCACCCACCTGGCTCAGATCTGCCCTCTAGACAAAGCCGGTTCTGAGGCACTGTCCTGAGCCCTGACATCCAGACTGGCAGCCCAAGGCTATCCAATCATCCTCAGCTCCTGAAACTACAAAAGAATCCTTTTAACAGGGAGCTCTGTGCTCTTGATCACACAGTCCAGGACTCTGTCACCCAACCATCCACCCTAGAACCCTTGTTTCTTTCCCTCTCTCACCTTTAAGTCATGCCAGAGCCTGCCCAGACACTTGTTATTATTTAAAGTAGTCTAGTAGTGAAAAGCCCATTATCCACCTTTGGCCTTCCAAACATGTAATGTTAGAAAATTCAACGTAATGTTAGAAAATTCAACCAATTTGCAAATTACCCATCCTCTTTTCTCTATCTGCAAGGATGGGTTTGTTATCTTGTTTCTTGGGACCATGAGTACTCAGTAATCAGTGGGAGAGGGGGAGGGAGGGAAGACTATCTGTAGAGCTGGTAAATGTGGAAAAAGATAAATTCACCAGCAACCATCCGATGCCTTGGGAAGGAAGGAAGGAAGGAAGGAAGGAAGGAAGGAAGGAAGGAAGGAAGGAAGGCAGGCAGGCGGAGGAAATCTTCACTGAGAAACAAGCACTAGACACTGGTGGGAAACACTATAGAGAGAAAACACAACAACTGGACAAATGAGAGGTTTGAAAAGACGTTCTTGGCACACACACCCTCCCCCCACCCCGGCAACTGGCCTGCATTCCCACGGGGTCTCCTCCTCCCCAGCATGCCCCAATGCCCCCCAACCCAGGTGAAGGATTCCCTGCCCTAGCAGAGCACTTGAGGAGAGCCTGGGCCTCACGTCGGTATGGCTTCAAGTCTTATCTTCTCTACCTATACATTCAGGGCAATAATTCCATCCCTTAAGTTCAGACACACTGAAGGGACAAATAAAACAGTAAGGGGAAAGAGTGCTTTCAACCCTGAGTAAAAAAGCTACCCAAGATCAAGGTGATCACGCTGCCATCAAATTTCAATTACGCATCACCAGCCAAGGATACCAGCAAAAAAGACAATCCACGGGAGTGGATAAAGCCCAAAGCTTTCCTCTTTGGATCTGGAAGGCACTGGCATTCTGACAACTGAATTAGGGCTACAGCTGACATCTACAAATTTGCACCACACTGGGAAGGCCTGGCTCTGAAATGAAAGACGCTCTGCTCATCTGGGTTCTCTGTCAACTGTTCTCCATCCCCCACTCTCCAGAGGGGCAGATGGACTGCCGCGCAGCACCATGCTCAGCAGAGCGCTTTCACTCACTAATCCTACTACACGATATATGCTTCCCAAGGAAGAAAAAAGGAATTGGTTAGGGGCAGTCAAAACTTCAAGAAGCTCAAAGGAAAATTTGCCAGAAGACAGGCATAACTAAGGTGACGTACTATGAAGAAATCACTGTGGTATTGGTGCTGTCCTTAACTTCTAGCTAGAAACACCTAGAGGCTCCTAACATCCCCCTCAGGTTTCAGCCCTGATCTCTCTGGGAGCTGGCATCCATGGACTCACCAGTGGGCTTTTGGAGGTCTCTTTGTCCTTCTTGTCTTTCTTTTCCTTTTTCTTTTTCTTGTCTTTCTTCTTGATGGCTGCAGGAGTTGACAGCTTCCCCCGCTCTTGAATCACCAAGTTCCGATAGTGCTCATCACATGGATGGTCCCACATGGACTGCCCGTTGGCAAAGTTGAAATAGTAAATATCACCTGTGATGTCCTGGCTGCGGAGAGCAGAGGTCAGGCATTAGTCCCTGATCAGGTCCACAGCTACTTAAGGAAAAAAAAGAGCAGAGAAATGGCCGAGAGATGGAGAAGAAGGAAGAACAGCATGAGAGGGGCAGAAGGAGAGAGAAGAAGGAAGATCAGGAGGACACAGGGAGGATTAACCCAGAATGGAAGGGTACCGTGTGGCTAAGATAGGAGTTAACTTAGAACAAAGGATTGGGATACTGAAGGACTTCTCAAGAAAAATTCCTGGGAATTCATGCTAGACTGGAGTACAAATAAATTTGGTTTCAGATGGATAAATACAGATGCTATGGGATCTTGGAGATAGATTCTAGGATTGACCTTGCTTAATATTTTTATAAAGGGGGATCCCTGGGTGGTGCAGCGGTTTGGCGCCTGCCTTTGGCCCAGGGCGCGATCCTGGAGGCCCGGGATCGAGTCCCACGTCGGGCTCCCGGTGGATGGAGCCTGCTTCTCTCTCTGCCTCTCTCTCTCTCTCTCTCTCTCTCTCTCTCTGGCTATCATAAATAAATAAAGAAAGAAAAATATAAAAAAAATATTTTTATAAAGGGTGTAAGGAGGAAAGACGCTTTGTTTTTGCAAAAGCTCTGGTTTTGCAGAAGATATTTGTATACCCATGTTCACAGTGGCATTAATCAGAACAGCCAAAGGGTGCTAACAGGCCAAATGTCCATTGACAAACAGATAAATAAACAAAATGTAGCAGAAACATACAGTAGGATTCTATTCCACCTTGAAAAGCAATGAGGTACTAACACAGGCTACAACACAGATGAACCCTACAGACATTATACTAAGTAAAAATAAGCCAGACACAAAAGGATGAATACTATGAGTCCATTGATAACAATCTAGAATAGGTTAATTACAGAGGCAGAAAGTAGGTCAGAGGTTACCCCAAGCTGGGGGGAAGGGAGAGGAGGGGGCACAGACTTTTAGTTTAGGAAGCTGAACAAGTTCTGGAACTGGGTGGTGGGGATACTTGAACACTGTGAATGTGCTTCATGCTGCTGAACTGTATATCCCAAAATGGTTACAACAGCACATTTTATGTTATGTATGTTTTAGTGGAAAAAAAAAAAAAAACCTTACAAAAAATGTTTAATTTCAGTGTGATAAAAGAAAGTGTATAGAAAATGAAGAGAGAGGAGACTGGGAGAAAATAATAGAAACAGTAGTATAAGATTAATATACAGACAAAAATCAGAGTTCTCAACAAAAATAAAAAGATAAGTCCCCAGCAGACAAAACGGCAAAGGATATAAGCAAGCAAATGGCCAACAGATGGCTGGCTCAACTCAATGTAACGATTTGAGAAATGCAAATTCAAACAATCAGGTATAATTTCCTGCCCTTGGATTGACAATTTTCTTGATTTTGATCATTTCCAGGGAGTTGATAATATTTTAATTGATAATATTTTTAAATGAACAACCACATGTACTATTACTGGAGGGACTGTTAAACTGTTAACGGAAAGCAATTTGGGATTAACAATATTTAAAATCTGCACCTCTTTTTAACACATTGATTCAAATTCTAGAAATTTTTTCTCAAGACACACATACAAAATCTCAGGCAATGTGCTTAACCAAACTGAAGGAAACATTGGACCTCTCCTCACCTAGTGCCAAATTCTCAGATGCCAGAAACAGAAAGAAAACGTAACGCCTGATTAGTAAGTGTGAGAACTGACAGGTCAAGGTTGGTGTCTGACCTGGATGGAGCCCCTCCAAACCTGGGTTTTAATGCCAATTGACAGACACAAAAGATGGCCTTAGGCCTTCACGCATCTGGAAACTAGGAAGAAGGGATGCCTAGATGGCGGTTGAGCATCTGTCTTTGGCCCAGGGCGTGATCCTGGAGTCCGGGGATCGAGTCCCACGTCGGGTTTCCTGTATGAAGCCCGCTTCTCCCTCTGACTGTGTCTCTGCCTCTCTCTCTCTCTCTCTGTTTTTCATGAATAAATAAAACCTTAAAAAAAAAAAAAAGGAAAAGAAACTAGGAATGAGACCCTTGTCTATCACTTGGCCCTTAAGGCTGCTCACCCCATGAATGGAAAAACCTAGTGGGACAAGGAAGCATGTCACCCAGTCTAGGCAGGCAAAATCAAATTTCATGAAAAATTAAAACACCAAGACACACGTAGACATAGAGTCCAAATTATGGTAAGGAAGTCCCACCCCATAAAATTAATGTAAAAATTTAGTACTAAACCCACCGAAAAATCCTTGGCACAAGTTACTGTAAAGTCACTCAACAACCTAGGAATAAAACATAGAAAATAACTCTACAGAAGATGGATTCACAAAACTCACAATAAATAATTAACAAACCCCATGGGGAAACAGTTCACCGTGAAAGGAAATCAGTGCCAGTGAAGAGAAGCATTAGCACACAAGGAAACTTGGCATAGCAGAATAATCAAAAGAAGACTAAAATTAACTACATCTAAAATTACTGTAGGGATAAAAAGAGTAGAATCCATAATGACAGAACAGAACTCAAAAAAAAAAAAACAGACATATTGAAAAGAACATAACAGAACTTGCTGGAATTGGTAGAATCATTAAATTAGGGGAGGTAAGGGGAATGAAGAGAGAGGAGTCTTCAAAGTAAGAAAGCACCCCAAATCCTGAACTTAGGAAATAAAAATAAATACATACCTGATATGCTATAATGAAATTACAGAATACCAAAAATAAAAGTAAAATAAGAAAAACAGGGATGCCTGGGTGGCTCAGTGGTTGACCGTCTGCCTTTGGCTCAGGATGTGATCCCAGATCCTGAGATCGAGTTCCACCTGGGGCTCCCCGCAGGGAGCCTGCTTCTCCCTCTGCCTATGTCTCTGCCTCTCTCTCATGAATAAAAAATAAAATCTTTTAAAAAATAAAATAAAATAAAATAAAATAATAAAAACAATCAGAGGGAGGAAAGATTTACTTCCCACAAAGGAACAACAAACGAAACCAAGAAAACATATCTTATTAAGGAAAACCCGAAGTCAGAAGATAACAACAGTATATAATATTGGCCAAAGGCTATTCAAAGTCAACAGACAATTCTGTACTCAACTAACCTGTTGTTCAGAGTGAGACCAGACAAACGTGCCTAGAGACAAAGACATAAACACATCTAGCATGCTTGATATAAAGGACATTTGTAGAACCCTATACCCTAAAATTAGACTACATCCTTATCAAGAACATCCAGAACATTCATATAAACAGAATCACTTACTGAGCCAGAAACGAGGTATCAGCTTGTAACAAAAATGTGAATAGAATGGGAAATGAGTAATCAAAAAATACCCAAACTCTATCTACCTCATCCCCTTCAAACTTTAACTTTAGAACAAAGATACTTAACAAAATTTTAGAAAATCATAACTGATTATATATAATTATGACCAAGAATGTAAGGCCGGTTTAACATTTGAAAATCAATCAATACAATTCACCATATTAAGACCAAAATAGAAAAAAAAAAATCACATGATCTATCAATAGATCCAAAAACACATTTGGTAAAATCCTATACCCTTTCTGATTTAGACTCTCAGCAAGCCAGGAATTGAAGGGGACTTCCTCACCCTGACCAAGGACATTTACAAAAACCTACAGCTAACATCATACTCAATCCCTTAAGATCAGGAACAAAACAAACGTCCATTGTCACCATTGTCACCATTATTGGTGACAGTGCAGTAAGGAAAGAAATAAAAGTAAAAGGTATCCAGATTGGAAAAGAAGAGGTAAAAATGTCTCTTTTTGCAGAAGATGTAATCACATATGTAGGCTATCCTATGAAATCTACAAAACTATTAGAACTAACATACGTGGGGATCCCTGGGTGGCGCAGCGGTTTGGCGCCTGCCTTTGGCCCAGGGCGCGATCCTGGAGACCCGGGATCGAGTCCCACATCCGGCCCCCGGTGCATGGAGCCTGCTTCTCCCTCTGCCTGTGTCTCTGCCTCTCTCTCTCTCTCTGTATGACTATCGTAAATAAATAAAAATAAAAATAAAAATAAAAATAAAAGAACTAACATACGTGGGTAACCTGGGTGGCTCAGGTGATTGGGCATCTGACTCTTGATTTCAGCTCAGGTCATGATCTTGGGGTCCTGGGATTGAGCCCTGCCCCCCACCCCCAGCGCTCTGGGATCCTGATCAGCAGGCAGTCTACTTCTCTCCTTTCCCTCTTCTAACTCCTCCAGCTCACCTGTACGCCCAACAGCACACTCTCTCTCAAAGTGAATAAATCTTTTCTTCAAAGAACTGAAACATGAGTTTAGCAAGGTTGCCAGCTACAAGATCAATATACAAAAGCCAATTTTATTTCTATATAAAAGCAACAAGCAATAGGAAATTGAAATTTTAAAATATACCATTTACAGACACGTCAAAAATATCCACTACTTAGGAATAATTCTAACAAAATATGGGCAAAACATGTGCAGTAAAAACTCCAAAACATTTCTTTGATATAGTAAAGAACCACATAAATAAATGGAGACAGACTCCACTCAAGGGTTGGAAGACTCCATATAGTTATAAAGGTCAATCCTCCCTAAACTGATTTATAGATTTGGTATAATTCCAATCAAAATCTTAACAGGATTTTTCTTTTGTAGAAAATGACAAGCTGATTCTAAAATCCACATGGAAATGCAGAGGACCTACCATGCAACTTTGGAAGTGGAGAGCAAAGTTGGAGGATTTGCCCTAAATGATTTCAAGGCTTATAATAAAGGTACGGTAATCAAGACAGTATGTACAGTATTGGTGTTAATTAAGGTAGACAAACAGATCAATGGAAGAGAGCAGAGAAACCAGAACAGACCCACACATAGGGTCAATTTGGAAAAAGATCTAAACACCCTTCAATTTTAAGAGTGATTAAATAAATCTGGATTTTTTAAAATTATGGCACATCTATACATGGAAAAGTGTGTAGCTGATAAAAGGCTAATGTAGACCACAAGCTGACAGAGAAGAGCAACAAGTATATAGTAAGTACTTATGCTTAACAAACAAAACCATGTCTGTGGGGTGTGGCCTGTTTTAAAGGCCAGGAATTCACCAATTAATAGTAATTACTATTTACTCTTGTAAATAGTGATTAAAAGGTGATTAAAAGGGTAAAAGATGGGGCACCTGAGTGGCTCAGTGGTTGAGCATCTGCCTTTGGTTCAGGTTGTGATCCGGGGGTCCCAGGATCAGTCCCACATCAGGCTCCCTGCAGGGAGCCTGCTTCTCCCTCTGCCTATGTCTCTGCCTCTCTGTGTCTCTCATGAATAAAGAAAAATAAAGACTTTTAAAAAAAATGTATCCAAAAGCCAAACAGCACAGGTAGTTACAAACTTAAAAACAAAGGCAAAGATGATAGAGGTTAATGGATGAGGCAAATGTCGGGGTGCCTGGGTGGCTCCATCAGTTAAAGCAGCCAACTGGGTTTTGGCTCAGGTCATGATCTCATGGATCCTAGGATCGAGCCCTGAGTCAGGCTCTATCCTGGGTGTGGAATCTGCTTAAAGATTTCCTTCCTCTTGCTCTTCCCCCTACTTGTTCTTTCTCTCTCTCTCAAATTAAATAAACTAACCTTTGAAAAACATAGATAAGGCAAACGTGGGTATCAGGCTGGATACTGGAAACAAAACAGAAACCACTATCCCATGAACCAATCCTACAAACACAACTGTTGAGTCCTCAGCACCCGGAACGCCGTGTACAGTGCTGATGGATTTCTTTTAAGAGAGATGTCATGAAACTGGAGGAGATCCAAGGAAACACAGCTGAAAAGATCAAGCGAACAGGGAGCCTGCCATGTGAGGAGAAGCTAAAAGGATTACGTTCAGCAGGGATGAGAAAGGCCACAGTTGCAGTCACTCTGAAGTGCGGCCAACGCACCAAATGGTATGGATAAGTGCAGAATAATGACACCTGGCACCCAAAACCATACCATGCCAGCCAAAGAGAGGACCCCGGAAGGCCCCTGGGCCCTAGCTGAGGACAGGCGTACAGAAACGGGCCACTCTGATAGGAAGTAAACTTACAGCACGCACTGCACCTGTAACAGAGCAGGTGTGCAGAACGGAGAACACGCATCACCATCTCCAGAGGGGGGACGGGGTGCAGTCCTCAGGTGGACGGGCTGGCAAGAGCTGCTGAGACCCCGGTAGGCTCCTCACCATCCACCTGGTTCCCTGACACAACCTGAGTGAGTCCACTCCTCACAATGAGGAGTGCTCAGGGCAAAGCTGAAATATGAATGAACCCACACCTGTGAACCTATTCATGAACAGACAATGCAAAGTCAGGGACGGGCTGCCAAGGGAGACGAAACCCTTGCCAATCTGTGTGGCCCCACTACAATCCTCCTTAGCATTGGCATTGACCGTGGACATGCGAAGGGGGTCTCAATATTGCCATTCTCAATAGCGGTCTGCAAAGAGTAACAATGACACCTCCCCGGCGCTGGTGTTGTGGGACCTGACCAAGGCAACAGCTCCTGGCAGCCTGGATCTAAGTGCTGAAGGTCTCACAGGGACCAGGAAGTTGGCCTCAGCTCAGGCCCAAAGCATCAGGCAGCCTGGTAGATGGATGGCTCACTCCTGGCCCCAGCTCTGTGTGGGACAGGCTTCAAAAGGTGGCAAGTAAAAGCTGACCTCGGGGGCCAGGCTTCTCCTGCACGTGACGGGCCACATCAGCAGGCCACATGCATGCTGACTCACCAGGGCTTCCACTCCACGGGCAGCGGGGCCACGATACCCTCCCGCGCCAGCCACATCAGTTCTGGTTCCTTGATGGGATCAATACCAATCTCTCTGGCAAATTCAAGAATTTCTGCAAGAAGAGGCAGGAGCATGAGAAAGGAAGAAAGTTGAGGATGTGATTGGAAAAAAGAGAAATCACAATCAACCTTGTGAAATAGTAAGAAATATACACATTGGTCTCTCCCCCCACTTCCTATTACTATTTGGTCTTTAACCCCAGTTCCTGGGATCCCTGGGTGGTGCAGTGGTTTAGCGCCTGCCTTTGGCCCAGGGCGCAATCCTGGAGACCGAGGATCGAATCCCACGTCGGGCTCCCGGTGCATGGAGCCTGCTTCTCCCTCTGCCTGTGTCTCTGCCTCTCTCTCTCTCTCTCTCTCTGTCTCTCTGTGACTATCATAAATAAATAAAAATCTAAAAAAATAAAAATAAAAATAAAAAAACCAGTTCCTCAGCCAGAGCTCCTAAAACCCCTGAATTTCCTGTGTAACAAAAGCATTTTTTTCTTCCAGCGAGGTGACTCTGGTGCGCTCTGGTGGACTCTGGGGGTTGGTCACCAGAAAGACAGAGCCATGATTGGAACCTTCAGTGGTGTCTGGCTGGCTCAGCTGGTAGACTATGCAACTCTTGATCTTGGGGTAGTGAGTTCAAGCCCCCATTGGGTGTAGAGATTACTTAAAAATAAAATATTGGGACGCCTGGGTGGCTCAGTGGTTGAGTGTCTGCGTTTGGATCAGGTAGTGATCCCAGGGCCCTGGGAACTATCTAGTCCTACATTGGGCTCCCCACAGGGAGCCTGCTTCTCCCTCTACCTATGTCTCTGCCTCTCTGTGTGTCTCTCATGAATAAATAAATAAAATCTTTTTTTTTTTAGTAATAATAAAATAAAACCTTTGAAAAGGGAGGGGCAGGGGAGGGTGGAGGGGTGGCTCAGTCAGTTAAGCATATGCCTTCGACTCAGGTCAAATCTCTGGGTCCTGGGATTGAGCCCCACATCAGGTTCCCTGCTCAGCAGAGAGCTGCCTTCTCCCTCTCCCTCTGCCCCTCACCCCTGCTCATGCTCGCTCACTCTTTTTTTCAAATAAATAAAAAAAATCTTAAAAAAAAAAAAAAAAAAAAAAACAAGCAGCAGCAGCTTGGAATTTTCAGCCTCACCTCCATTCTCTGGAGAGGGAGCTGAAAAAGGAGTTCATAAATGATTATGACTTGGTGAAGAAGCCTCCAGAAAAATCCCTAAACTCTGGCGTCTCAGAGAGCTTCTGCGTTGGTGAACACAACCATGTGCTAGGGGGATAGTGCATTCCGACGCCACAGAGACAGAAGCTACTGCTCTTGGGACCCTGACCTCACCCTACGGATCTCTTCATCTGGCTACTCATCTGTGTTCTTCATAATATCCTTCATCATATAATAAACTGGTAAAAACAGTTTTTGGCCTGTTGAGTTGTTTGGCCTGTTCCAGCAAATTATCTAACCCAAGAGGGAGGCATGGGACACTGGTGTATAGCTTGTTGGCCAGAAGTACCAGGGACAGGGGTGCCTGGGGGGCTCAGACGGTAAGCATCTGCCTTCGCCTCAAGTTATGATCTCCAGGTCCTGGAATCAAGCCCCATGTCAGGCTCCCTGCTCAGTGGGGAGTCTGTTTCTCCCTGTCTTCCCTTGCCCCTTCCCACTGCTAGTTCTCTCTCTCTCTCTCTCCCAAATAAATAAATAAAATCTTAAAAAAAAAAAATGTACCAGGGACAGCCTGGGACTTGCAACAGATGTCTGAGGTAGGGCCAGTCTTGTGTGACTGAGCCCTTAACCTCTGGATCTGATGCTCTCTCCAGGAGGACAGTGTCAGAACTGAACCAAATTGTAGGACATGCAGCTGGAGTCAGGAAAAAACCCACACACACCTGGTGCCAGTATTTTGACTGTAAGAGTAAAAGAAAAGCAGACTTTCTTCCTAGACAACTTCCTTTCTACTTTCACCTTTACTTTCTAAATTTTCTTAAGTGAGCAGGTGTTAAGTCTCTAAATATAAATAATAAACATACATAATTCTGTATTCTTAAATTACAAATGGTACACCTCAATCAAGGCATGCTATTGCCATACTCCAAGAATGTAATCTAAAGCCAAGTATAACAAAGGCAAAAATATAAGACCAAGACATCAGCATGGCAAGGGCCTAGGAACGAAGCCCAGCAGCCATAGCCAGAACCATCCTGAATGAGGGCAGCCTTACTGGGACACAAGCTCTCCCAAGATTTTCAAAATCTTAGAGCAAAAGTCCTCCTCACTCAACCAGCTAGCATGGACTGAACAACTGGAGAAGACTAAGCCCCTTGAGGGCCTTACCAACGACATGAACAGAGTCTAAACCATGGGATACATGCTTTGTGTGTGTGTGTGTGTGTGTGTGTGTGTGTGTGTGTGTGTGGTTTGGGGGATACATGTTTTAATGGAGTGGTGCACTGTGTGCCACGGGAGCAGAGACAAAGCAGTGACTTATTCTACACAGGGCCAGGGGGTTATCTGAGCTGAGAAAGTGGGATGATACTAGAGCAGCCTTGTTCTGCACTCTGAATCCTCTCTTCCATGAAGGCAGTTGTTTCTTTTCCAATTATGCTAAATTTTATGGACTTGGTTATATTTTTTTTGGAAAGCATTTAGAAAGTTCTTTCACCAGAGATCTGGAGAACTGTTGGGAGATAGAGGTACTGAGCTCAGAGCTCTCTCACCTACAGGAAAAAAAGAGATGAGCTAACCACTGCAATATTTTACCAGAGCCCCCAGGAATGATAAATACCCCAGGGGCATCGATGCTTCCGCTGATAAGAGCCCAAGCCAGAAAGACATCACCAGTTTGGGTCACCAGTGTAAAATGTAAAGGTTGACACACGTGGGGGAGAAAAAGCCCTTTTTCAAAGGACCAGCTCGAACTGGGTTAGCCAGAGACTGACTCATTCACTGATCTCGCAAATATTTTTTGTTTTGTTTTGCTTTTTTTGGCAAATATTTTTTGAATGCTTCCTATGTGCTATGAATAAAAGAAATGGTCTCTGCCCTTATGGAGTCTATATTCTAGCAGAAGAAACCACCAGTAAAGAAGTAAACAGATAAATATACAAAGAATTAAAGCTTCTGATAAAGGGAAGGAAGTAAATGAGGTCTGAGATATAGGAAGTCAAGGTGGAGGTGGCACTCCTTAGGAAGGGTCAAGGGAAACCTCTCAGAATGGAAAACAACTAAAACCTATAGGAAACAAGGGAGCTAGCCATGCAGAGTACTCAGTCAGAAGAGCAGGTGCAAAGGGCCTGTGGCAAGCAACAGCTCAGCCCATCTAGGGACTGTCAGAAGGGCCATGTGACTGGCAGGGTGAGCAAGAGAGTGGCACCAGGTGAGCCACCCCAGGTGGCAAGGTAGGGTCATGCAGAGTCTCACATACCCCACTAAGGGTGTTATGCTAAGTATAATAGAATATTACTAAAAGCAGAGCCCTGATCTGATCTGCTTTACACTGTAAGAACAGTGTGGTACAAGGTGGAGTACATGCTGCGAAGGGTATGACACAAATAAGGAGGCTAATCAGGAAGCCACTGACAGCCCAGGAAGAGAAATGGTGTCTTGAGCCTAGACCGTCTAAACTTGGGACTGAGCAGAAGGAAGTTTTCATAAACACCCTTAGAACATCCTTAGGTCTCCATTCACAAGAGCAAACAAAAAAGAAAGAATATTTAGGAAACATGCTGAGCAAGAAATCTATAAAACCTACATGAAGAAAACTTTAAGTCACTCCTAAAAAAACACAAACAAAACACAAATGAGAAGGAACAGCACCTTCTTGGGTAGGAAGGTGAAACTTTGGGAAGATGTCAATTCTCTCTAGGTTCATTCATAAATTGAACACAATGTTCTCCAAAATTCCAACAGTTCTCCCATATAGAGCCCTTCCCAGAACCGGACAAGGTGATCTAAAGTTCAAGGGGAGATAAGACGAACAAGATAAGCAAGGAAAGTGTGTGGGGAGGAGGAGCCACGAGGGCACTTCAGTCCTGCTGGAGCCTCAGTAAGGAAGAGTGTGGTGCCAGCGTGTGAACAGTCCAGGGTAACATGTAGGTGGCACCCAGGCAGCAGGGGGAGGCCGGGGTAGCCGTGATCATGGTCGGCATGGGGACAAACCCAGAGGAACAAGTGAGAGAAGTGTGTGTCCTTGCAGTAGGGAACACTTTTCTGACCACAACACAAAATGCTGAGGCCACAGGAGAATGGACTGATGATACATTTAAGGCAAAAATGAAAACCTTCCACACGGCAAAGAAATCAAAATCCCATGCAAGTGTGCAGAGTCAGGGTTCATGCAGGATCCACGGGCTCTTGGGAGTGCAAGACCTCCCCCACCCCGCCCCACCCCCACCCTGCCATCTCTAGCAGGCCTGCAAGGCCTGAATGGTGTGCCCAGGGCCCCAGAGCCTGAGAAGTTCAGAGGTCTCTCCATCCCCCAGAGTAGCACAGCGCTTCCAGGGAAGGCCCTTTTGTGAGGATGCCTGGCTGCATGGCTGCAGGTCTGGCTACACAGCTCAGCAGATCTGTGACTGGGGGGAAGTTAGTTCTCTGTGCCTCAGTCCCTCATCTGTAAAATGGGAATGGTAACAGCACTCAACACATGGAGCTACTGCAGGGGCTGAAAAGGAAATACACATGGGGCACCTGGCTGGTTCAGCTGGAAGAGCAAGCCACTCCTGATCCCAGGGTTCAAGCCCCATGTCGGATATAGATATCACTCAGTAAGTTCGCAAAAAAAAAAAAGGAAGTCGATGTAAACTGAGCACAGAGCCGGGTATATAGGAGCACTCAGTAAATACTATTACTATATTACTGTTTCAAAACAAAAACACTGCTTTAGTTTTTTCTTAAGAAATTGAGTCACTCCTGGCCTCAGGACACACTGTTTATCATGGTATCCCCTCCTATGTTTTCATTTTTTTTAAGATGGATTTCTTTTTAAAAATATTTATTCATTTACTTATTTTTTAAGATTTTATTTTTAGGGACGCCTGGGTGGCTCAGCGGTTTGGTGCCTGCCTTCAGCCCAGGGTGTGATCCTGGAGATCCAGGATCGAGTCCCACATCAGGCAAACTGTGTGGAGCCTGCTTTTTCCTCTGCCTATCTCTCTGCCTCTCTATCTCTCTGTGTGTGTCTCTCATGAATAAATAAATGAAATCTTTAAAAAAAAAAAAAAAGATTTTATTTTTAAGTAATCTCTACGCCCAACATGGGGCTCCAATTCATGACCCCAAGATCAAGAGTCACATGCTCTACTGAGTCAAAACCAGGCGCCCCTATATTATCATTTAAAATTAACCATTGGGGATGCCTGGGAAGCTCAGTCAGTTAAGCGACTGTCTTTAGCTCAGGTCATGATCCCAATGTCCTGGGATCGAGCTCCACGTTGGGCTTCCTGTTCAGTGAGGAGTCTGCTTCTCCCTCCCCCTCTACTGTCCCCCCACCCCTGCCACCTCCCTGCTGTGCTCTCTGGCTTTCTCTCTCTGTCAAAGAAAGAAATAAAACCTTTTTTAAAAAATTAAATTAACCATTGATCCAACCCAGGTTCAGCAAACTTTTTTTTTTTTTTTTGTAAAGGGCCAAAGAGCAAATATTTTAGGCTTTGTGGGTGATACTGTTTGTCACAACTGCTCAATACTTCCCTTGTGCCATGAAAGCAGCCACAGACAATACATCTACAAATAAGCATGGCTATTTTATAGTAAAACCTTATTTACAAGAAGGCAACAGCACAGGTTAGGCCCATGGACTATTGTATTCCAACCTCTGATCTAACCAAATATACGGAGCAGCCCTGCAAAGGCAGCATACTTTGTATTGGAAGGATAAAAGTCAATCACAGATCATTCCTGCCCTCAGAGAACTATTACATTGCACCCCAGGCCTCTTACCTTGCTCACTAGGGATGTAGGTCTCATCATAATCTTCCTCTAGAACCAGCTGGTCGCCGATGCGGACGGGTCTTCCGGCCATGATTGGTCTGGGCTCGAACACCTAGGTCCCAAAGACCCCTACCCAAAGAGAAAATCAGTGATCCAGCATAACAGGGGAAAACCTGCAGCTGGGTCACAGAGCACCTGGGTGAGACCAGACCCTGAGAGCCAGCTTAGCCAGAGATTTTCCAGACTCCAGGTATAGAGAAGGGTGGGACCAACAGCTCAGAACTCAGACCTTCTAGGCTCTGCACTTGGGAAAGTTCACTGAGACACACTTCCCAAAGGCTTGCTGAACACTCACTGGGCCACAAAAGTTCTAGAAACCCAGCCCCCTCAAGAGTTTGACTCCCCAACCCAGGAGCAATCAATCATAGTATAAGGGCCCCAGCTAGAAAACCCTAGTGAGACAACAAAGGAATTAGTGGTGCGTGTGCACACACACATACCCATACATCAACACATCCCAGTGCAGTCACACTGTCACAACACACATCCGTATTTGCACTCAACTATACCCTCAGGAAGCTGCCTATCTAGTGACTAGCACACAGAACTTCAACAGGGGAAGGGGGAAAACCATCCTGCTGCGGCAGCACTGAGAGAAGGAACATTCCGGCTGAAGGGCAGAAGGCAGGCTTCTCAGGGAGCTGACACCAAGGGCAGACGAGAGTCGTGTTAGTGGAGAGAGGTATTCTAGGCAAGGGGACGTCAGGTGCAGACGAGGTGTTCTGGAGCGTTGGGCGGCGGCATGCGTGGCAGGGGCTGGGCTGGAAAGCCAGGTCACCAAGAGCCATGGAGACCAGGCGACTCTCCCCTGTGGCACAGGGGAGCCACTGAGGGCTTCGCTGAAAGAAGTGGCACAGAGTGGCCTTTTTTTAGGATGAGAACTCTGGTGGGAGTGGCATGGCAGGACCGGGGGGGAACGGGACCGGTGTCAGGAGGATGACTGAGGAAGCTGCCCTCCCGGGGAAAGACGATGAGGGCCTAAAGTAGGGCAGAAGCGGAGAGAAGGCAGGGGCAGCTGCTGGGATGGCGGCTTTCACAGGACCAGGAAGGGGGGCGGGGGGGGTCCCACCTGAAACCGAGGTTTGTAGCTCCAGGGATGGGACAGCGTCAGATTCTTCAACTGACAAGAGCCGCTCCTCCCCTCCATCCTCCCCCTGTAACTACCTCTGGATCCCGGGTCACAACTCTCCCCCCTGGAGCTCCTGCCCTGAGGCTCCCGAATGATGCAGAGACAAGACACAGAGAAAAGGGGCATCCGAGTAAAGGAGTGCGTCCCCCGACTGAGCAGGTGTTGCCAGCCTGGTGTGACCAACAGGAGTCTAGGAAAGCAGGGCCTGACCTCTTCAGAAGCTGTACTGTCCCACCTGGAGCAGCAGGCACAGCACAGCCCCCTTACAGCAGGAGAAGTGGGCAGAAAGACCCTGTCATCCCGGAGAAGGTCAGGGTACGGCCTGTAATGAGTGCTCAGGAAATGGCCGGATCTGATGGTTCTGAATCTGTTCCAAGACCCCCAGAGAGGGACCCCTGATAAACAGGATATATGAGGACCGCTCCTGCAGCCCTCTCAGTACCCTGACAGTCCCCAGATGGGCAAGGAAGGTATCTTGCCTTAGGACTCACCAGAGATGACTCCCTCTACCAATCCGCTGGAGCCAAGGGAGTCAGGCTCTGCTCCCTCTCATTGCCAGCACGACACCTCCATACATGAACGTTGTGCCTTAGGAAGACCAGCTAATGGAAGAAGCATTCTACTCTACAGTACATAGATCCAAGTGGGGGTCTGCTCCCTATCCTAAGAACCTGTAATACCTCGAGAAAGTACTATTCCCTCTGCACACACAGTCAGAGGTTAAGTGGGGCCCCTGACTGAAAAAAGCAAAGCAGAAAGGTACCAGGACAGTTGATGCATCTTAAGGAGCCACAAGAATCTTGAATTCTCTGAGTTAGGGAGGAGAGGGAGAAGGAAAGGGAAAGAATCCCCGGCGACATCAGGCTAACCATTATTCAATCCAACAGGAGAGTGACTTATCACAAGGCATTGTATCAACCATCTCAGAGCATTTGAGAAATCCCACATTTGAGAGATGTGACCTATCCCTAGACATATCCAACTCCAGAAAGCACGGGGCAGGTGAAATCTCTTTGCAACAGAATGCCTAATTAGCTGTATTTAAAAGTCAAGAAGAACCTGGAAAATCTAAATTCATGGATCATTCCAATATTAGATAAGTCTTTTGCCAGAAAAAAACAAAACAAAACAAAAACTAAGATGTGGGTGGGCTATATTTTACCTCCTTTCTCTGCCTTGCTTGGTTTAAGAAAAGATGAGGGTAGTAAGGGCAGGACCAAAAGGACAGGAACTGGTAGGACTGAGGAAGGTGGTGGGAAGGGAAGTCATATGTGTTTAATGGCTACTAGAGATCATTTATTCATTTGAGAAATATTTATTGAACACCTACTGAGTTTACTTTTTGCCGGCAGTAGAGATGCGATGAGTAAAAACAGCTGTGTGCTAACAGAGCACACATGCGTGCATGAGAGTTCCCCGTGTTTTTATTTCTCCCACTCTGCTTGAATAATTACAAAGAAAGTGCAGCAGAGAAAAGCAAAGACTTACTGGCGAAGGCACTGGGGAGAAGGCAGGAGATATAAGAGGTGATTATACAGTGGTAATTAAGTGCAAGTCTGGGAACATTCTTGGCTTTGAATCCCAGCTCTGCCACCTACCAGCAGGGGAAGCTGCCTCAGTTTTCTCATCTGTAAAACGGAAATAACAAGGTGTATCCCCAAGGAGTGTGAGAATCAAATTATTCAACACATGGGGGCGCCTGGGTGGTTCAGTAATTTATCCTCTGACTCTTGATTTTGGCTCAGGTCATGATCTCAATGTCATGAGATCAAGCCCCACATGCTCAGCAGGGAGTCAGCTTGAGATACTCTCTTTCTCTCCCTCTCTCTCTCTGCTCCTAGCCTGCTCAGACCTGCTCTTGGGTGCATATGCTCTCTCTCTCTCTCTAAAAAAAAATAAACCTTTAAAAAATAAAAATAAAAACAAATTATTCAATACATGTAAAATACTTAAAACATAGTAAGATCTCAATAAATGTGAGCTGTTGTTATTACTATCTACATATTTGAAAGGCCCATTCTATGTTGTTCAGAGGACAGATCTAATACCAGGGAATTGGAAGGGAAGGCCATTCCAACAGAGTGACCACTTACTGAACACCTACCATGGGTTGGCTGTGCTGTTAGGGCTACAAGTCTGATTACATACGGCCCTGAACTCCAGATGAGCCTCGCTGAGAAGCCAAACATACAAAGACATGGTTGTAGAATGTATGAAGCACACTAAGGGAAGTAACAGGAGCTACAATGGGAAACTAATAAGGTAAGGACCACTAATCTTTTGGAAGATGAGGAAAAGCATCACAGAATAGAGGACCAATGAGATGGCTCTTTAAGAATAAGCAGGGGCTCACCAGGAAAAGGGAGTAGGGAAATAGAAGGCAGAAGAAACAGCATGCACAAAGGCAAAGAGGCAGAAGAACACCGTGGGTACAGAGAATTCATTTTGACACCAAAAGCTTCTATTCACTGAACACTTCCTATGTTCCAGGAACAGGATTAATGCTGCATATACATCATCTCACCTCATCCTCTTAAAGAAGTAGAAAACATTTTCTTTCCCCAGGGGCGCTGAGGTGGCTTAGTCGGTTAAGCCAGGTCATGACCTCAAAGTCCTGGGGTTGAGTCTGGCACCAGGCTCCCTGCTCAGTGGGCAGTCTGCTTCTCCCTTTCCCTCTGCTCCTACCCCCTGCTTGTATGCTCATGCTCACTCTCTCTGTCTCTCTCTCTCAAATAAACTAATATTAAAACATATTTTCCAGGCAGCCCCAGTGGCACAGTGGCTTAGCGCCGCCTGCAGCCCAGGGCGTGATCCTGGAGACCCTGGATCGAGTCCCACGTCAGGCTCTCTGCATGGTGCCTGCTTCTCCTTCTGCCTGTGTCTCTGCCTCTCTCTCTGTGTGTGTCTCTATGAATAAATAAAATCTTTAATAAAATAAAGCATATTTTCCCTAATTTTCAAACAAGTAAAGTGAGGCTCAGCCAGTTTAAATAAAAAAGAATAAGTTGCCCAAGGCTTTGCAGGTAGCAAAAGGGCACAGCATAACATGCACGCCACCCCCACGTCTCTTTGACCCCAAAGCCTGAGCTCTTAACCACTCTGACACCAGAATGCAAGGGCCAACGGGAGGAGAGAGAGCTATAGTGGAAGCAAGGAGCACACTATAAAGGGCTGGGGAGGATTTAGGTTGTATCCCGTATGCGACGAGGAACCAGCACAGGATTTCACAAAGCAGATTGGCATCATCAGATCCGCAGTTTAGCAAGATATTCTGACAGCCGTCATAAGAACTGATTTGAGGAGGCCAAGAACAGAAGCAGAGGGGCCACTTGGGAGGCTTTCCTAAAAGCACAGGCAAGAAGTTATGAACTAAGTCAGTGGCGGTGAGAATAGAAAGGAAGGACCAGATGCACAGGGTATTAGGATGCAGAAAATAACAGACTTGAAGTCTGCAGCAAGTGACGGACAGGGCGGTGGGAAATCAGGGCACTTAGGCCGGTATGTGGTTATCTGTTCACTTCTATGCCTTGGCCAACAGCCCCACCTAGCACACTCCCTAGAATATAGGAAATGCCCAGCAAACGTTTGCTGCGTATGTCACACGAATGAATTCCAGGTGCAGACCTGGCTGAGTGGACCCTGGAGTCCTTCGTTGACACAGGAATTGCAAGAGAAGGCACAGATCCGGGGCGGGGGGCGGCCAGGATGGTGGGGGAGGCATGCAGCTGGAGACCATGGTTGGCGAGGTCGGAGCTCAGCAAAGAGGTCCGAGTGCAGCTCACCGTGGTTGCACAGACGGGTCCCTGAACTTGCAGGGGCGAAATCACCCAGCCCAGGCCTGCGGAGCGCGCGGAGGGGCCCGCCGGGACAGCCGAACGAGGAGTCCCGGAAGCCGAGTGAGGGCTGCGGTTCCGGCAGGACGATGTAGATTTTTTTTTTTTTTTCAATCAGTGCAAGGAGGGGAAAAATAAACCTCGGAAACTTGCTGACTTTCCAGCCTGGCCCACAGAGGGCAGAAGGTCGGGCCAGCCCTGGACCGGGTACGGGGGAGCCTCCCCACGAGAGAGGCATCAGAGCGAGGGTCGGAGGCCGGGCAGGACCGGCAAACGCGCGCCCCTGCAAGCTCACAAGCCGTCGCTCGGGCTCAGGCTCGGGCTCGCCCCCGCCGGCCCCCGGCTCAGCCCGGGATTCGGGATGGATGCGCCCTAGTGCGGACGCTCCTTCCCGACTGCTCCCTCCAGTTCCCGCCCACACTCGTGCTCCTCCCGCTCGCGGGCACACGAGTGTGCGCCAACTCTCCCGCTCGCCTCCTTCCCTCGCTGCCCGACCCCTCCCTGGAGGACGGCCTCACCTGCCCCCCGCCCCGGGACGCACCGGGCCGCGGCTCCCGGCTCTGCGCAGCTCCCCCCAGCACCACCCCGGCTCCCCGCTTCCAGGGACGCCGGGGTGTTGCCCTGCAGCGGCCTACAACCACTCCCGGAAAGCCCACAACCTAGCAACGGAGAGTCCCGCCTCTGCACGGAGCCCATAGGTCGCTGAACGAGAGCTGTGGCTCTGGATTGGTTAGAGGTCCCGTCGGGTCACGGAGGAGTGATGCACGTTTCCCGTTGCACGATGGGAGATGTAGTCCAAGATAGTTGATGCGGAGCCACAAGGGGTCATACGAGAGCTCTGAATTTGGTGAGGAGGGGAGGATTTCTTCCCGGGCAGGAGAGGGTCATTCACAGTATTTATTGTGACGTGAATTAACTAATGCAATCTATTCGTCATGATCTTTTATTTTTTTAATTTTTTTAAATTTTTATTTATTTATGATAGTCACAGAGAGAGAAAGAGAGAGAGGCAGAGACATAAGCAGGCTCCATGCACCGGGAGCCCGATGTGGGATTCGATCCCAGGTCTCCAGGATCGCGCCCTGGGCCAAAGGCGGGCGCCAAACCGCTGCACCACCCAGGGATCCCCGTCATGATTTTTTAAATAGTTTGATTAATATCAGGTGAATGAGACACACTGATCATCCATAACCCCTTGAGGCTCTAATAAACAAAAGAAATGTGAATGGAAGGTAAGAGGGGAACACCTCCCCCACAGAAAACTGGCTTCCCCGTGTTCTGATTAAATCAGTGAGAACCTAAACAGGACTTCAGAGCTGTGGTTTCCCTTGTTTGTCTTTTCACCCAGAGCACAGGGCTCACTTTGCAGATCTCCAACATTGGGGATGATAACATCTCTCAGAACTATTTCTAAGAGTCTATTTAAGAAGAAAATAGTGATGGGGGGCCTGGCAAGCTCAGTGGAGGGGAGCCTATGACTCCTGATCCTGGAGTCGTGAGTTGGGGCCCCACATTGGGTGTAGATTACTTAAATAAATTTTGAAGGAGAATAAGAAGAAAGTGACACAATGTGTAGTACCCTCCACATGCTTTGTCTGGCAGGAAGGTTGCTATTAATATAATTCCAACGAGCTTAATTTTGCTTATGTGGAGGACAAATCTTTTCTTTCAAATGCCCTCAGTGTCCTAGAGAAGTTAATGGAGGTGAAGAAGTTAAGAGGGCTATTACACCAATGGGGTGGGGACAGAAAAGTGAATTTACCAATTGGAGAGAATGAAGCACCTAGAGCAGCTCCTGACAGGTTCTGTTGTGGAGATGCATCTGGCTCTTTCCAACCCCTGAAACTAGTCCCAGTGCTGCTAGGCCCGCATCCCAGAATGCAGAACTTAGATAGTTGTCCCTGTAGATCCCAAACCATATATACAGAATGTATCCCTCTTTTTTTTTTTTAAGATTTTATTTATATACTCATGAGAGACACACACAGAGAGGCAGAGACATAGGCAGAGTGAGAAGCAGGCTCCCTGCAGGGAGCCTGAAGTGGGACTTGATCCTTGGACCCCGGGATCACGACCTGAGCCGAAGGCAAACGCTCAACCACTGAGTTACCCAGGTGCCCCAAGACTGTATTCCTCTTGTCTAACTTTTGCTCTTTCTGTGGAAGCTCTGCCTGCAGATGACAAATCATTGTTCCCTTTCCTTTCCACACTCCTTAAAATTCTCACAGAGGGGCTAGAAGGAGAGACTGGGATGGGACTCTAAGGGCTCACCAACTCATCCACTACAGACCTTATACAAAACAGCCAAAAAAAAAAATTGGTAGATTTGGTCTCTGTTTTATAACCAATCCAGTTAACTTTAATAGCCATCAAAACCCTTAGGTTATGGGCAGCCCAGGTGGCTCAGTGGTTTAGCGCCGCCTTCAGCCCAGGGTGTGATCCTGGAGACCTGGTATTGAGTCCCACGTCGGGCTCCCTACATGGAACCTGCTTCTCGCTCTGCGCCCCCGCCACCCCCCGTCCCTTATGAATAAATAAATAAAATCTTAAAAAAAAATCTTAAGTTTTATTCCTTAGCATGGGTTCCTTTCTATCTCATGGGGAGACCTAATAAAATCCGGGTCACCAAGGATTAATAGGATTATACCACACTGATAAACAATTTGCATTTTGTCAGGTTTCCCTGTAGATTTGTTCTTCGAAATGCAAACCAATTTATAAAATGCCCTTAGGCAAACTTAATTAAGAAAGCAAATCTTTGGGGGGAAATAACAAAAATGACACACCAATTGATAAGCCAGTAATATACCCAATGAGTGAGGGAGATTGAGAATTTCATACATTGTAGGTTAGCTTCTGCACTCAAAGATGTGGAAGGAGGAAAACTAAATTGGTCCCCATAATTTATGCCATACCCCCAAGTCCGAAATTTCGCCGTTAGAAATTTTTCTTCTCTTTCCATGCTATTTGCTTGTAATATACAGAAAATCATTCACGTAATAAGAAAAACACTTGCTAATCCTACCATTTTTAAGATGTGAAATGAAAAAAGAAAAAAAAAGATGTGAAATGTTCTCTCTACTCTTTCAATCCACCATGTTTAAAATTACAAGCTGCCCTTCTCTGCTCTATTTTCCCCCATAGTGTATCTCACCATCAGAAACACTGTATATTTTATTTCTTTACTATCTGTCTGCCTATAGAGAATGTAAATTGCACGAGGACAGGAATTCTGGAGGATGCCTGGGTGGCTCAGCAGTTGAGCACCTGCATTTGGCTCAGGTCGTGATCCCGGGGTCCTGGGATCGAGTCCAGTATCAGGCTCCCCATGGGGAGCCTGCTTCTCCCTCTGCCTATGTCTCTGCCTCTCTTCTATGTCTCTTCTGAATTAAAAAAAAAAAAAAAAAAGACAGGAATTCTGTCCATTTTATTTACTGCTGTATCCATAGTGCCTAAAACAGGGCTTAGCAGGTTCTCAATACACATTTGCTGAATGAATAAATAAGCCAGTTGAAGGAAGGAATTTCACACTTCAGAGGAAACCACTGTTGACATTTTGGTTGCTATCTTTCAGACTTTTTAACGTTTATGCAGATGTAAAGTTATATGCATACATATATATGCACATACACATCCTTTTTAATTTTTGCAGAAATGAAATCATAATGTACATATTGTTCTACAATGTGCTTTTTCTCACTTAACATCTTTCAAGATGAGTTCATAATGACTTACTCCATTCTTATAACAGTGAAGTAGGATTCCATTAAATGTCTCCTCCTACTGGTAATCATTCATTTTGTTTCCAAAGTTCTGGTATTACATACATGCTGAATACAGTTGTATTTGTTGGATAGGATCCTAGAAGTGACATTGCTCAAAGAGTTTATATTTTTTACATTTTAATAGACATTGCCAAATTTCTCTCTAAAAGTGGAATAATTTTAGTCCAAACAACACTTTCACCAACACCAACTATTTCCAATGTGAGATAGATAAATAAATAAATAAATAAATAAATAAATAAATAAATGGTGATGGTATCTATTGTGACTGCATTCTTTCAATATTTATGAAGTTGAACTTTTTCCCACATTGTTTATTGACCATTTGAATTTCTTCTGTTAATTATCTATTCACAATCTTTGTTCACTTCTCTATCAGGTTTGTTGGGGGTTTTATTGATTTGTAGATGCTCTTTATTTTTGTTTTTGTTTTTTAAAGATTTTATTTATTTATTTATGAGAGACACAGAGAGAGAGAGAGAGGCAGAGACACAGGCAGAGGGAGAAACAGGCTCCACTCAGGAAGCCCAATGTGGGACTTGATCCCGGGTCTCCAGGATCACACCCTGGGCCAAGGGCGGCGCCAAACCACCGAGCCACCTGGGCTGCCCGCTCTTTGTATATATAGACATCAACCCTTTGTCTCTTTATTATGTGACAAATGTCTCCTAGTCTGTGACTTATCTTTTAACTTTATAAATGTCATTTTTCATTTTGTAAATTTTGTGGTAATAGTAACGCTAATAGCTAAATTTTACTGAGCACTTATAATATGGCAGACATCATTTTAAGTGCTTTATATGGATTATCTCATTTAAATCTTACGTTACAAGGTATGTACTACTGTTATCACCATTTTGTAGATGAGAAAATGGAGACTACAAAGGATAAGGAACTAGCCCGGAGTCTCCCAGGTTCTAAGTGGCAAAACCAGACTTAGAATACCACAAGTCTGATTCTACAGAAGTTTTAAAAATTCAAATAGTCAAGTCTGCCCTTTAAGAAAAACAAAACCAAAAACAAAACTCTGAGTTTTGTTAGAGAGACCTTCTTTAACGTAAGATTATTAAATAATCCTCTACTTTTTTCTGTAGTTTTATTTTTCATGTTAAGCCCTTTGATCTATCTGAAGTATGTTTTACATGAAGTAGAGATTTAGTTTTCTTTCCTTCCAAATGGATAGCCAATTGTCCCCCAAACAGTTATTGAAGGTGTGGCAATTTCCTTTTAATATGAATGTTATCTTTATCATATACAGAATTTCCACGCTTATATTGATCTATTGATTTTTTAAAACTTGATTTTTATTTTTTTAAGATTTTATTTATTTATTCATGAGAGAGAGAGAGAGGCAGAGACACAGGCAGAGGGAGAAGCAGGCTCCATGCAGTGAGCCCGACGTGGGATTTGATTCTGGGTCTCCAGGATCACACCCTGGGCTAAAGGCAGGCACTTAACCACTGAGCCACCCAGGAATCCCTGATTTTTATTTTTAAACTTGTGTCTAATCGCCTTGTTGGTTAGGATTTTCTACTCGGATAACATGCAAATAAGCATTCCTTTGCTTTCTGATAAACTTTTTAATTGCTCTGTGCATTTATTAGCTAATATTAATGTCGCAAAGAGGGAACACAAGCTCACAAACACTCTACACAGTTTCACAAGACACACTGCAGGGGGAAAAGTGACTTAGAAGGATCAACAGTATCCTAGGGTCTTGGTGGATGCATTCCTGGGGGAAGTGGACCTCTAATTCCTGGTGGAGAGGGTCTCATTCCTGAAGGGGCGTGCCTATTGGTGTCCTTCAAGCAGGGGGAACACAATTGGTGGCCCCATGGGTGGTCTCATACCAGGGGGAGGAGCCACATCACCTGGAGGTGGTGTTGCTAGGCCCTCAGAAGTGGGTGGGGCCCCCATTTAGTTGGGTATTGGGTTGGGAGTCCAGCACTGTTGGCAGGAGCTGCAACTGCACAGCTGCTATAGTACCTCTTCCCTGTGGAGTCATTTCTTGTTGGGATAGGCCCCCAACCCCTCTGACAGGACCTGCTAATCTAACAGGAGCCTAGGGAATTGGAACACCAGCTGGCACTCCTCTGCCAGCTGCCCTACCAACCCCAGGGGCTCCTGCAGTTCCAACAAGTGGTATCCGAGCAATGCCAGTATCCCACAGTCATGAAAACCAAGTTCTCCCCATGTAGCAACACCAGACCCAAAATCCGCTTTTCTTCACGGTCTGGTTGCTTCACATTCTGTGGGCTTGATCTTCCTGAATTCATCACAATCACAGAGAATCTCGTTCATATGCTTGCCAAAGCCTTAAAGGTACCAATGAATGTGCCAATGGCTCAGTCGAACTTGTGACTCTTGATCTTGGGGTTGTAAGTTCAAGTCTGATGTTGACTGTAGAGATTACTTAAAAAACAAAATCATGCCAATGAAGATTTGCCCATCTTGCAGGATACATCTCATTCTGTGGTCAACGTGCTGCAGCACCTCTTGGCCCTTTCCCAGTCATGGTTGTGTTCCACCAAATCCAGTGTCTGCAGGAAGGTTTCAGATCCTTAAGACCCAAGGGAAGGCTCCAGGTAAAGGTATGATGCAGGTTCTCTTTCAATCACTGCAGACTTGGGGCAGAGGCTCCAAACAGTAAATGGAGCCTGGTTTTTCACTGGGAAGTCAGCTCCCTGGATGTTCCAGTCCTGCTTTAACCACCTCTTGGTGTCTCAGCTAAGAATGCCTGTCTCTGTTCCAGCTGGAAATCCACCCCAGGTACTTGCTGCTGCTGACATCACCTTGGGTATAGCTGACTCCCCCCCCCCCCCTGGTGCGTGCTGTTGTTCTGTAGTCCCTCTCAGGGGGATCCCTGGGTGGCGCAGCGGTTTGGCGCCTGCCTTTGGCCCAGGGCGCGATCCTGGAGACCCGGGATCGAGTCCCACGTCGGGCTCCCGGTGCATGGAGCCTGCTTCTCCCTCTGCCTGCTTCTCCCTCTGCCTGTGTCTCTGCCTCTCTCTCTCTCTGTGACTATCATAAAAAAAAAAAAATGTAGTCCCTCTCAGGTATAAGCGGTTCCTGGCCCGCTCTATCACTCTGCTGGCCACACCTCAGAACAGACCGTCCGGCGTCGCTGGTGACCACTCACTGCACTCTGCCTGCTTTCTAATATTTATAGCACTTGTTTCATGTTCTCATCCTACTGAATTAGCTAGGCTGATCTAAACTACACGGGAGGGGCGCCTAGCTGGCTCAGTCGGGGGAGCATGTGACTCTCAATCTCAGGGTCATCAGTTCAAACCTCATGTTGGGTGTGGAGCCTGCTAATAAAAATAAATAAATAAAATATTTATAAACTGTGTGGGAGAAGAGCGGTGATAATGACCTCCCTTTTGCTAAGCCTGACTTTAATGGGAATAAGGTCAGCCTGTTTCCTGTGATTTTGTTATGTCGTTTAAGAAGTTCCCCCTTAGGCATGCCTGGGTGGCTCAGTGGTTGAGCATCTGCCTTTGGCTCAGGGTGTGATCCTGGGGTCCTGCGATGGAGTTCCACGTTAGGGCTTCCCGCAGGGAGCCTGCTTCTTCCTCTGCTTCTCCCTCTGCCTATGTCTCTGCTGCTCTCTGTGTGTCTCTCATGAATAAATAATTTTGTTAAAAAAGAAGTTCCCCCTAGTTTTTATCAGAACTACTGAATTCTAACACCAGCTTCCCACATTTGTTAAATAACACATTGCTATAATCATACGGCTTTTCTCCCTTAAGCGATTAGAGCTCTGAAGCTTTTTGTTTTAAGCTCTTACCAGTTAATAGACAGACACTCCTCAAAGCGGTGACACTTTGAAGCTGACAGTAGCCATTTGCCCTGAGTCTGACTGGCAGCCCAGAAATGAGGATCTTGGGGATGCACAGCACCCCGGGTGGAGGTGAGGACAAGTAGAGTATCAAAGGCATGAAAAGATTCAGGTGAGGGAAGACCCCACCGGCTCTTACCTGCCCACAGATGGCAGGCTCCAGTGGAGACAAAGGGCCCCTGGGCTCTCCCCTTTGCACCTCCCTTCCGCAGCAGGCTGCCTACACTACCCTTCTACTCCCCTTACTCTCGCTCCCCCACTCTCAGCCCGGCGGAAATCCCGCCCATTCCTTACAGCTCAAATTAAATACCTCCTCCTCCCCCCGAGTCGTTCCAGATCCCCCAGATGGCCCCCTAGGTCCCTACTCGCTGCGGCCACATGGCCCCGTAGGGCGCCCGTGCATGCATTCTGTTCCTGCGCGCGGCCCCAGCGCCGGGAAGACTGCCCGGCATACAGTAGGTGCTCCGTAAGTGCAGCCTGAAGCACCCGCGCCGCCCTGCGCGGCCGGCCCCTCCCGGGCGGCCAGGGTCCTGCAGGGCGGACTCCGCCTCGGCAGAGGGCATCCCAGACCCCTCGCCAGCCCCGGAAGCTGGGCTGCCGGCCGTGGGAAGACTACACTTCCCAGCGATCCCAGGGAAGAGCGAAAACCCTTTGGCTTTGACAGCCGCCGCCACAAGCCTTTCCGCCTCCCTGGCCTGCCTGCGAGCCGGGAGCGGGAGCGGGAGCGGGAGCGGGAGCGGGAGCCGGAGCCGGAGCCGGAGCCGGAGCGGGAGCGGGAGCGGGGGCGGGGGCGGGGGCGGGGGCGGGGGCCGGGACCCGGGCCTGGCCAGCACGCGCAGCCGGGGGCGCCCGGGCCCCTGCGCCTGGCCCCGCCGCCCGGCCCGCGGGGCGCCGAGAAGCCCGCGGCCGCCGACGCGCCATGCGCGCCCCTCCCCGCCGCCCGGGGGGCCCGCGCCGTGCGCTCCCGGACCGGCGCTGAGGCTCGGCGCCGCTGGCCAGATGTAGCGGCGTCGGGGCCGTCTCCTCCGCCGCCCGCCTCCGCGTCGCTCTGCGGCTTCTCCTGCGCGATCCCCACCGCCTGCACCGGGGCGGCCGGCGAGGGGCCTGCAGGCTCCGGAGCCCCGATGCCCCGCAGCTCGCGCTCCTGAGCGTCCAGAGTCGGGGGCGGCGACAGGGCCGGCCGTGGTCCCGGAGGGAGCCCCGAGGGCCCCAAGGCCAGGCGCGCCATGGCCCGAGCACTGCCCTGGCTCCTGCTGTGGATGGGCTCCGGAGTGCTGCCCGCCCGCTGCACCCCGCCCGGCATCGGCATCCGGCTGCCCCTGCGCAGCGGGCTGGGGGCGCCCCCCCTGGGGCTGCGGCTGCCCCGGGAGACCGTCGAGGAGCCCGACGAGCCCGGCCGGAGGGGCAGCTTTGTGGAGATGGTGGACAACCTGAGAGGCAAGTCCGGTCAGGGCTACTACGTGGAGATGACCGTGGGCAGCCCCCCGCAGACGGTAAGGTGGCCGGGCCAGCCCGACCCTCCTTCCTGCACAAGCAGGGGGGAGTGGGGAGGAGGGGGGTGCAGCATGCTGGCCCCCTGCTGAAATGGGCTGGTTGGCGCGGGCAGGAGGGACCGTCGCCCAGGTGTTGCCTCTGGGATCAGGTTGGCAGCCCCAAAGTTCCCGTTTCCCCCTTGCCTTGCACGCAGGGGCTTCCCCACCTCCCTCATCTGACTGCCCTCAGCCCACCCCCAACCTCACCCACACACCCCTTCCATAAGGATTTGGGGCAAGAAACCCTCCAGTGGGGGAGCCCTGCCTGGGGAAGGGTCCAAGCAATAGGGGCCCGGTGAACAGGTGTCAGCCCTGCCAAGCCTGAGTCTCCCAACCCCAGCACTGTGGATCTTGGTCACCCAACCCTCTCCCCTCCTCCGGTGTTCCGGGAACCTGGGCTCCTGACCATCATTCCCAGCATTTTGAGAACCCAGGAATCCTGGCACGAGTTGGATCAGCCTCCTTCTCCCACTGTCTGGGCTGCCACAGGGACCGCAAAGCGGGGCTTCCCAGCTCCTCCTGACCTCCAGTCCAGCCCTGAAGCCCCGGGGCAGACTCGGGTTCCCCCAGCGCCTCCCCTCGCCTCCCCCTCCCCTCCCCCCCCCCCCCAGCATTCTGCACTCCAGCCCCTCCCCCTCCAGGGGCCCCAGAGCACCGGCCAGAGGGGACTAAATTGAGCCTGGGGAAAGGACTAGCCGCAGCCCAGGAGCCAGAGCCCCCTTCTAAGAATGAGACTCCTTCTAAGAGCCAGGAGGCGATAGGCGCTGAGGGAAGGGAGCCTGGCAGCGGTGGAAGAAACACTGCCAGCCCTCCTCATCCTGCCTGTCCTCCGCGATATCTCCAAGGTGGCTGGTGGAGGTAGCACCCCTGTGCTCGTGTGAGGGGGGTGCTGTAGCTGCCCTCCGTGCACATCTGCCACTCTGTGGGTGGGCCTGGGCACGGGTGGTGGGGTGGTTCTGTATGTGCTTGTGTGTCACCTTGAATCAGAGCCTGCACTTTTCTGTGAGCCACCCCCCCCCCTCGGATCTGTGGGATCTGTGTCCAGGAGGCCTGTCCTTGGGAGGGTCCGTGAAGGTGGGAGTGTGTTTACAAGTAGAGGGAAGAGCCACACTTCTCTGAACTTCTCAGACAGCTCTTACACCAGATTTGGGAGAAACACCAATCTCCAGCCCCCAGTTACCTTACAGAAGCAGATCTTCCTAGGGCCCTGGCACCCAGGCCTACCTCCCACCTCCCAGCTGATCCAAGGCTCTGGTCTGCCCTACTTACCCTTTCTCGTTCCTGTATACCGTAACATCCTCCCAGAAAGTCTCAAATCAGTGTGAGGATAGGCCCCTTGCAGCGTGGGGGTGGGGGTGGGGTGGGGGAGTGGTGCTGGGTATTATCAGATAGCTGGGGGACGTGGAGACCTCCAACCTTCTCCCCTGTGGTGTGTGTCTGCTACTGATAAGCTGAGCAAGCCCAACTTACACCCTGGGGCATGGACACACAAAGGGGCTGTGGAGCCAGCAGAGAGACCAGGAATTCCAACTCTGCAACTCACAGCTTTTCCTTTTCTTAGTTGTGTGTCCTGGGGGCAAATTAGGCAACCTCTCTGAGCCTATTGCCTTGTCTTTAAACTGGGTGAAATCAGATATCCTTTGCAAGGTTCTTGTGAAGTTTCAATGGGACTGTGTAGGGGAAATCACCCCGACACACAGTTGACCTCTAGTAAATGTGAGGTCAGTCTCTGCCAGTTTCTCCAGCCCTGTCTGCCTCTTCAGTGCTATGCAATGAAGCATGAGAGCTTGATGCTCTGGGCCACCACGTTTGATACATATAGAACTAGGGGAACAGGTACTGCCCTTCTCTGGACACCTGAGATAGTAGTATGCACATTCCCCGGCCCGGAAATTGGGCAGAGAGAGTAGTTGCCCAAAAAATGTCAGCCCCCATAGTTCAACACTGGCACAAGGAACCATTGCCAGGGAGCCCACAATTAGAATGACTCTGGGTCACCCTTTTGACTGTGAACCGGAACCAATGCCAGACAGTCTATACTCTGTAGTGACTTTGATTCTCTCCCCAGCAGTCTCGAGAAGGAGGCCCCTTCTTGCCTGGTGGGGCTTGTCGTGAGCACCAGGTGAGAACGAGGTTGGCAGAGTGCTCTCAACAAATAGGAGTAAAACTTGGGGAGCACTTTTTATATGCCAGGTGACTAGGTGCGGGGTTTGAGAGCTGTCCAGAAAGAGACAGGAGATAGAGGTTTTTTGCCCACAAGGAGTGTGGAGCATGAACGTGTGAGTGCCAGTACAAGGTAATCCAGAGCAGTGCTTGAAGGCAGGCCCCCAGACCCTTGCCACCAGAGCCTATTAAAACATAACTTATCTGGTCCCATCCCAGACCTACTAAGTTAGAATTTCGGGGGCCATGGCTCAAGTTTGAGAAGCACTGATCTGCAGTAGTACAAAGAGTGACTACTATAAGTGTTCTGGGAGGTAAAATCAGGGAAGGCTTCCTGGGGTAGGTGTGCTGCGAGCATGGTCTTGAAGGCTGGCTAGGAGAGGGGAGGCTGTTCCCAGCAGGGAAATGGCACCTGTCCCACTAAACCATCATTGCACTTAACTCGAATATCCACTGCTTCCTTAACCTGGGTCCCTGGGACCAGAAAAAGCCACAACAAATGAGAGAATGAGTCATGTCTGTTTGTTTAGGAGACAGTGAGAAACTCAGTCCAGTTAATGCTACAGGTTTGGGTAAATAGGATAGAGCCAAATTGCCAAAAGCCTTAAATATGAAGCTTTAAGTTTTGGACTTTGGTCGGCAGATATAGGGGGAAGCTTGAATTTATTTGTTCAAGGGAATGACATAGAGAAAGCAATCTTTTAGGAAGAAACGTGAATTTTAGGAAGAATGGAAGTGAGAGGTGCAGCGGCAGCAGTCTCTGTCACCACAGTCCAGGTGTGAGGCACTATGACGAGGACAGCGTATGGCTGTGCTAAGAGGAAAGGGAAGGGAAGACCAGGAGTCAGGAACGTCACGAGGCAACCAGACAGGACTTGGTGACACTGGTGTGAAGAGTGAGGAAGAAGCATCAGAGATGATTGCACGATCTTGATCTGGGGTGAACTGCAGGGTAATAAGACCATTTGCAGGACCAGGAAAGCTGGCAAGAGGCATTGGTTTATCAGTAGTAGTATACAAATAAATACTTGTATTTATGGTTGCAGCTTATGGAAAGTTTTCAAATATATTCTACCTAATTTTCCTCTTTACAGTAATTCCTGCAATATACACAAATGGTCTTATCACTCGTGACTTCTAGCAAAAGAAGTGGGGAGTGAAAGTTTAAACAGTTGGCCAGGAGACAGGCCCGTAAGCTGAGATGCTTTGTCACCTGGATCTTTCTACTCTGCCGGCCACCTGCCCATGTGTCTTGGGGGAGAAGAGAGGGTTTATCATGAGCATTCCTTTTCATTCTCCCGTGACACCTGCTCATGTGTCCCTTACTACACCTAAGTAGTATTAAAGGACATATTATAACTGTTTTTATATTCGTTTCCTTCCCAGAACATGAAGCTCTTGAGGACAATGTCTTTTAAAAAGATTTTTTTTGGCAGCGTCTTATTTCTCTTTAATATCTCTGATAGCACCAGATTCAGAACACGCACCTAAAAAATGTTGAGTGAGTAGATAAATAAAATGTAAGACATCTAAACAGAACTCTCAATGGGCAATTCTAAGTGCAGTATTGGAACTCTTGGAGGAAGAAGCACTTTCATCCTTTTCCACTTAAATGAAAGGATATCACCTCATTATAATGGGATGAGCATCAGTCTCCAAACCCAGGATACTGATTGTTAGGATTGAAATCTGGTCGTTAGTCAATGCAGTTCAGCAAATGCTTGTTGAGCACCTACTGTGTGCAGAAGAGGAAAATCATGTCATCATCCCAGGGCCTGGAGAGCTCACAATTTGGTGTGAGACATAGACATAGAAACAGCTAAATATCATACGAGACCAAAAGCATTTGGTACAAAGAGAAGAACAGTGAGTCTTAGAAGTGCAAAAAAAGAAGCAGTTACTACTGACAGGGTGTTAGGATAGGCTTGCTGGAAAAGGTAGCATTTGAGTATGGCCTAGAAAGATGAGAAAGCTTTGCTATTTGGAGAGTGGGGGGAGAAACGCTTCATGAAGAGAGGCATGAGCTGGGCCGAGAAGCTGGGAGTTGTGGCAAGGATGCTGTGAGGTGGAGTGGAGGAGGTTGGGTTGTATTCTGCAGGCAGGTGAGAGTCCCTGTGAGTGTTAAGAAAGGGAAGGGTCTAGTGTAGTTCTGGTTCCAGGGTGGAATGTAGCTGGATAGTCTGGAGCCCGAGGCTAGGACCTCAGTGAGGACATGAGGGCTTGAAAGACGCTGGTGGCAGTGAGGACAGAGAGAAGAGGTCCTCAGAGATCCAGCATTCACATGTCAATTCAACCAGGTGTTCTCTGCTCCTGGGGAGGGAGAGGGAAGAGAAGAGGTTCCCCTCCTCTACAACATCTCTGTTGTATTGGAACACAAAAGGAGCAGACTTTTAAAGCACAATATAGGTCATCAAAATTCTGTGCTTAGGATTCTGCTTTAATTGCAAGGGATAAATACTAGCATGTCCATTTGAGGGGTGAGGAAACCGAGCCTCAGAGAGCATAAGTGCTTTGCCCAAAGAGACTCACCTAAGGAAAACAGAGCCAGGGTTCAAATTCAGGTCTTGGATTTTAAGTCCAAATACTGGGTTCTTTCCAGTGTTCTCCAGTCTGGGAGATTCAGTTGCCTTTGAGGTGCCAGTGGACCATTCTTATTGATGGATGCAGCAACCAGCTGGGCATGGGGATCTGGAAACCAGGAGAGAAGTTAGGACTGGACAGGTAGACTCGGGAGTCACCTGCAGAGAGGTGGTTTGGAAGCCACTTTAGCAAATGGGCTTGTTCTTTGAGAGAATGGA